CAGATATTTGTACATACTAGTTCCTATCTTCTCTCTTGTTAGGAAGCCCTCTTTGTATATTTTCTGAATTGTACAAAACATTATAATTCTTCTAATGAGGAAATTCAGAGTGGTGGTGGTGTTTGCACTAACAGTCCTATGTTGTTGCAGTGTTATGGATGACAATGTAGGACCGGATCTAAATTCCATTGAAGTCAGTAGGCCATAAATTCAAATGGGTTGCGGATCAGTCTCTAACTGCAAAATTCAGGAAGTCCAAAGTTGTTGTTCTAGCAACAGCCTTAGCTTCTTCATATGTCACACATAATTAATGCAGAAAACTTAGCATATGCAGTAACAAAGTACAATACTATATTTATGTGTATATGAAGTAGGGATTTGTGTGGAAACTGTAACTGAGTTTCCAGATACTCTTAGCATTTAAATTGTTTAACATTAATATTCTACTAATATACAGGAGGATTTTGGCATTAAGTTAATATACAGAAGAAATTAAGGGGACGATTTCACTTGCTTTACAACTGACAAAATGGGAGCAGATGCTGAAATTTGTGCTGAGCAAAAGTCGTCTCCTCCTCCCTCCCCCTCCACCTCCGTAATCAAAGATAATATGTAACTATACTTGAGGCAAAATATAACAAAGTCCAGTAATTGCTCAGCTGATTTCTGGCTAGAGTTCAGTGTTTGTTTTTGAGTATCCTCCATTTGTCATGTACCTAAGTTATGTACAAGGGCTAGTATCATAAGACTCTGTTACTGAATTGCTACATAACTTTGGGCAACTTTTCACTTGTTACTTCATTTTCCCTATCTGTCAAATGGGAATAATACTTCAACAGGGGTATTATGAGGCTTCACTAACATTCGGGAAATAGTTTGTGGTCTTTTATCTAAGGGATTATCCACGCAGGGAGTTAGTGAAATAGCTGTTGTGCTTTCAGTTCACACCTTAACTTATTTTGTAAGAGCTTCCCCACATAGACAAAAGCTAAGTGCAAAGTTTTTACTATGGTTACTAATCAGACTCTCAGTTATGGAAGTTGAAATATTTTTGTAACAAACCTTGTTTTCACACACTAAATGTTCTAAAAAAAATTCAGCTTTTTGGTTGAAATTTTCAGTGTACAGGGGAATTGTCTTTAAAAATTTGAGCAAATTCCTTTCAGTAGCTTATGTATCCTTCAGGAACTTTTTAAAAAACAAAAAAATGACAGAACTTTGAACTTGGGAGTTTGGTATGTGACTACCCCTTGTTGAACTACCTTCATCATCACGCTGGGAAGGTGGGAAGAACTGATAGGCTAACAATCAATTGGAAAATACTTCTAAACATGCTTAATGAACATCCGTTAAGTCTTAAAGAGTATTAAACCCCTTTGGGGAATCAGAGAATGGAGAGTGCATTTCCAGACCTGTATAGTGTGTCTGGATATTCTGGGACCAACATGGCTACAACTACACTGCATACGTTCAATATGGAGAGTGAGACCAGGTTCAGGAATCAAACTTGAATGCCCAGGATTAGTGGAATTGAGTCAGCTGCCCTGTGTTAGGGAACCCTGGGCTTGAGTGTTTACATTGTATTTTAACCCTACGTTAAGACTTTTCTAACCCAGGTTTGAACCTAGAGCTCTGGCATCCACACTGCAGTGTGCAGACCCGAGTCAAAGTAACCATATCCCAGCATCCCTAGCCTCCCCCACCCCCAGAAATGTGGCTGCTCTAGCTCTGGGGTGGTAGCGCACTGTGGGAAAACTTTACTCCCCTCTCTGCACATTGCCAGGAAGCAGCTGGCTTTGCACAAGGTTTGATGGTTCTCTCTCCATTGCAAACCCAGGAGGCTCACTGATAGTGTGCTTGCAGATCGGTGATCAGAAGAGACTGGGTTAACGCTGACCTGAGCCGTTTACAGAGCAGGACGGCTTCCATTTTCAATCTGGATTCCAGATTGTTGAGATAGAGGATTAAGGAAGTTATTCCATGGAATTGTGGGATACTTCCAGCCGACTCCCGGGACCCGAGTCAAGCAGTGTGGCGTCTATGCTGCAAAGCAATAGGGCTCATACCCTGGGTCCCAGCTTAACTCGAGCTCGCACCCTCCAGCCCTGCAGGGTCCTTGGACCCTAGTTCTGAGCCCTGGGTTAGCACGATTGTAGTGTAGATGCAAGGGGAGGGGGGGCTTAGGCTTAAACCCAGGCTAAAGCACAGGCTTACATTGCAGTGTAGGCATACCCATAGAACCAGGTGCATTGATTGGAAAAAAAATAATTTCATCCAGTTTATTCATGATTTAGATCAGCAAGCAGGAAACCTTGATTTAAATTGTTTTTTGCGCTTATACATTTTAGTTATTTTCCTAGAGAACGGTTGACTTTTATTGTTTGGTAACCACTGACAGGGTAACAAGCCTTGTTACTGAGGAGGAAGTGGTAGATGTGGTATTATCCTGACTTTAGTAAGGCTTTTGATACTGTCTCTCATGACTTTCTCATAAACAAACTAGGGAAAACTAGCCTATATGGAGCTACTATAAGGTGGGTGCATAACTGGCTGGAAAACCATTCCCAAAGAGTAGTTATCAGAGGTTCACAGTCAAGCTGGAAGAGCATATTGAGTGGGGTCCGGTTCTGTTCAATGTCTTCTTAAATGATTTGGATAATGACATAGAGAGTACACTTATAAAGTTTGCAGATGTTCCCAAGCTTGGAGGGAATGCAAGTGCTTTGGAGGATACGATTGAAATTCAAAATGATCTGGACAAATTGGATAAATGGTGTGATGTAAATAGAATGAAATTCAATAAGGACAAATACAAAGTACTCCACTTAAGAAGGAACAATCAGTTGCATGCATAGAAAAAGGAAAATGACTGCTTAGGAAGGAGTACTGCAGAAAAGGATCTGGGGCGTTATAGTGCATCGATAGGTAAATATGAGTCAACAGTGTAACACCGTTGCAAAAAAAGTAAACATCATTCTGGGATGCATCAGCAGGAGTGTTTTAAGCGACATAGGAGAAGTAATTCTTCCACTCTACTCTGTGCTGATAAGGCCTCAGCTCGAGTATTGTGTCCAGTTCTGGATATCACATTTCTGAAAAGATTTGACTTTCTCCAATTTGTCCGCAAGGAGAGCAACAAAAATGATTAAAGGTCTAGAAAACATGACCTATGAGAGTAAAAAATTGTTCTAATTAACCTCTGAGAATAGGACAAGAAGCAATGGGTTTAAATTGCAGCAAGGGAGGTTTGAGTTGTACATTAGGAAAAACTTCCTAAGTGTCAGGGTAGTTAAACACTGGAACAAATTGCCTAGGGAGGTTGTGGAATCTCTGTCATTGGCAGTTTTTAAGAACAGGTTAGACAAACGCCTGTCAAGTTATGGTCTAATTATTGGTGCTGCCTTGAGTGCAGGGGAGTAGACTAGATGACTTCTCGAGGTCCCTTCCAGGTCTACTCTTCTGATTCAGTGTTGACTTGCAAATAAATATAGTCTTTGCACTAAATTTGGTAGGTGTGGGGTTTGAGGTTTTTTTTTTTTTTTTTAAACTAACCAGGAAGGTTCACTATATCTATAGACATTTATTTAAGCAATTATATAAGTTATCATACATTTATTCAGAGTCTGAATTTGTACAATTTTATTATTTTAGAAAATGGTAAATCATACATTTCTTATTTACTAGATGATTAATTTTTGCTTATTTGTATGAAGCTCTGTTTGGATGGAAATTCAAATTCGCTTAAATATACAAAAAACATTTTAAAGTTTTAGTTTTCTTTAACGAAGCTTTCTGATAAGGATAAAAATTTTATCAAAGCATGTTTTGCATTTAAAATTAACTTTCTTTAATAAATCAGTATTATCTGTAGTTGGTGAAATGAACAGATTGCTTCTAATCGCTGTGTCCTTTGAGATTTTCGAACTAGATCTCTTCTTTCCACCTAGCTTTTATTAATACATTGGAAGAGGGAAAACAAGTTTTCCTGCTTTTTCAACTCTGATTCCTTAATTTTGACTGAACTAGTCATTGAACCAAACTAGTTGAATTATCTAAATGAAGAAAATATTTTCTCTGCATCTGCAGATGAGGCTACTGCTTTCAAAAGGAAGTTTAGTGCTTCAACAAACTCTGATTGCAGTTACTTAGCCAGCGACTTCCACCAGTTCAGTGGTTTGACTTTCTTTATAACTCAGCAACAAATATGCACTGCTTAGTATTTTTCAAATTAATTAAAATTATTTTAATAGATTGAGTAAGTTTAGGCCTTAATATAGGTTGTCCTAATTTAAATTTAAATTTGTTTTTAAATAAACCTGTTTTTAATTTAAATTTAAAAAATGATTTTTATTGTTTTTAATCTACCCTGCATAGAGAAATGGAAAAGTATTGAACATATTTTAAAACTGTCTAGAATTTCCATTAGGATGTACAGAATGTCTTGATTAAGAGTTTACTGAACTCAGTGCTGAGATTGTTTTTCTCCTTTCTCCTCCCATTATTATCGTTACACTATTTTACATAATACTATCTGTATCTGATCCTGTACAATAAGTAATGCATGTCTAACAAATGATTTGTTGTCCTGAAGCACTTACACCGAAGGGACAAGTCTGTACCACCCAGAGGAGGTGTGTTCGTGATTGCTGGAATGCTTAACAGAACAAATGAATACTGGAGAGCTTTTAGAAAAGAAGGTGCCTTGCAGATCCAAATTAGAGGCCATTTAATCTTGATGACATGCAGGAAACTGGGAGTGGGTGAATGAAGACAACAAGAACAGTTGGGAGAAACTTATCCAGAGTGGAAAAGGAGACCGGGGTAGGGGTTGTGTGTGCACGCGCTCACGCTCGCTCTCTGGTGTCTTGTCTCTGCATGCATCATGCTTACAATTAAGATTCAGAACATTTTGCATCATACAGAACCTCAATACTGTGGCGAGGCCCCCCAATTACCATGCATAGTAGTGTCCCAGTGTCCACCACTGTATTCAGCAATGGTGGATAGGTACATCACTTAGATTTTTCTGTTACTATTCTTTGCAAAACAGTTCATTGCAACAGTTCATTCATTAAATTTCAGAATTAACATCATACTGAGCTCAATGGAAGCAGCTCAGACCTCAGTCCTATCGCTTCAAGCTGTTTGTAGGCTGAGGAAGTCACTAAACTAAGTCATTCGGAGGGTTATCTCAACAATCCAAAAGGCTAGAAAAGATTTTTTTAAAAGCCTGTAAGCAAGTTCTGCAGTGGCAATAGGAGGATGGATTTCACTGGCTGTGGAATCTCAGAAAACACAGGACCTTGTTTATAACATACTTTGTTCCCAGATATGGAGATTAATAAGTTGTGGTAAGATACCAAGATCATGTATTTTACTGTGGCGGTTGTCACTGGTTGCTTTGAAATTTGAAAAATCTACATTACCAAACAGTGGGATAGAAATTATCTTACTTGTCTTCCTCCCATCCTGCCTTCTGGGGGCTCTAACAAAGAGTCTTGTCTTCATTTTCAGCCCATGATGTTCAAGCAAAAAGCTCTAGTGTATTATCCGTGTTCTCACTTTTATGGGTAGAATTTAAGATGTTTTCTATATACAGCAACATTTTTCTTTGTGAAAGGAGTTGGGGGTGGCATTCACTTCCAGCAAGAAAATAAGTCCTGTCATCTAAGCAGTGTCCATGTTGCTCATTTTGGTTACTCTCTCCTTTCTGGGCCATGAAATCGTGGGTTCAGGTTCCACAGCTGGACTTCAGCTTGTATGTCACACAGATCAGTACTGTACTAGAAGTTGGGGTGGGCTTTAAGCTAAAGTTTTGACTACTTTGTCTGTGATAGTTCCATCTATTTTGTTATGATTTTCATCACAAATTGTCATCAGAAAGTAGGCCAATTCTTAATAAATAGGTCAACTAATGAATTCTGTCATACATCTTGGGGGATGTATGATGGATCCTCCTGCTCTTTTCAGTGAAACTGAAGCAAAGTGGTGGTTATGGAATTATTTTTCAATTTCAGTAACATTTTCCTTTATTCGTGGAGTTATACTTAAGTCTTTGGCTAAAAGATGCATCAAATGAGCACTGCACCCATATGTTGCAAGTTTCAGGTTCTCTTCCTTATCTCTATGTATCTTCTCACCTTTGCTGCACTTGCTGCATTGTCAATGACAAAGATATATACTTGACTCTTGAATATTTGTTCAGTTTGTTATAGCTTTTACTGCTGCTACTTTAAGTATTCTGCTGTATCAATTGTTTTTGTAAGCTAGACAACACCATCTCCTATTGTGACACAAGCACATATTACGGGAGCACTGCCACGCATCATGACTCAGATTAATGAATTTTCCATCAGTGTTTTTTGCACACTGTTCAATTTCCCCCTCAGAAACTTTCTCCAGCAATGTCTGCTCGGCGGGTGGAGTGTAGCCTTGTGGTAATGATTGAACTACGTCAATGAAATGTTTGTTCTGAACAAGACAAAAGGGAGAACTTGTTGCACAAATCAAGGAATCAATATTTTCGTCTATGGAATGTTGCTGGAATTTGCTGGTCCTGACTACAAACTAATCCACGGTTTTAATGAGTGATAAAGACTTTTTTATATATATACAGGTAATTTACTGTCGGACATATGTTTAGTTGTAGCACTAGTGGTGGAACCAGCAGATGACTGTAAGGCTGTAGATATTGCAGATGGTGGACATTCATAACCCCTTATGTCTGAGCTTGACCCTGAAAAAAAAGGCTTTTAATTATGAAGCTTCCTGGGTTGCATGGTGTGTAGGTATGTAAAGTCCTGTCCAGCTCCTCAAAAAATGCAGGTTACATGTCACCTGCCAGATTTTTTTTCCTGTTGTCCCTCATTTTAATAAAGTGCAAACAACTCAGGAGCACGTATATCTGGCAGTGTTACGCATTCTGGTTATGGCCCTTCACAGACATCTGCCTAACAATATCCATAAAAAGGTCTTTATTCCAGTGGTTGGCCACAAGAGTTTCCCGCACCAAAGCTTCTCCCCAGATGACAATAAAATCCAGTGTCTCGGTGTGGCTCCAAGCAGCTGCTCAAGGCATGTTGTAGGGTTTCTGGAGTATTATCACGGCTGTTCTTATAAACTGGAATCCAGAAGTGAATGGATAATATCTGGCTATGTGCCAGCTTATAAACAGGGAAGGGAACATCCAGTCAACTTGACCGAAGAGGAGGGGAAGGCACACAGGTAAACGGGTCAGTAACGGTCGCCCACAAAGCTGTCTGGGATAGCCATTTGGAAGACTGTCAAAGTAGTTTGCTGCAGCATTGCATGCACATGAACAGAAGACCAGACTAACTTACTTTGCAACAAAGTTAGTTCACTTTGAAAGAGAACTTCAGAGGTTGTAATATATGCAGAATCCGTGCTCTACAATGAATTGCATTGCATGTGTGAAAGCATTTTCGAAGATTAACTCAAAAAAACTGTGGATTAAACCCCTTGTATAGACAAGCCCTAAGTGAGAAAGAGACTGTTTACTTCACTGATATGAAAATGAAACTAACATCAAAATGAAATCTGTCAGGGTCCAAGTAGTTTTTCCCATTCCGGGGGTGTGTGTGTGTGTGTGTGTATTTTCTGGTCACTGGTTGGGACAAATGAGAGTGCTCTGTGTTTCTGCTTGTCCTGGACATTCCAGTTTTAGAGGATTAACTGATCAGATACTGGTGTGATCAAGAAATGAAAAGAGCACTTAATAAACGTAAGTTCTACAAAATGTCAAAGGGAAAGTAGCCACCTTACAATCCATATAAATTCTGGACTAACACTTTTCAGCATGTTGTTTGTCCTGTCTGAATTAATTCTGCATGTTAGTATGTAATGTACTCTTGCCTCTCTCTTTCATAGTAATATGTCTGCATTGTCTTCGCTCCAGACCAGTTATTTCTCAAATACTATTCTGTTCAGTTTAGTGAAATAATACCTTGCATTTTGAGTGAAGATGTCTATTCACAATGTCCAACTTTAGCATTCCCTCAAACCCCTCATAATTGGAATGGTATGATTGAAACTGAAGAGCAGCTGTAATGATAAAAGTTCATGATCTTGTCACTGGTGCAAGTAGACAAAGATAACACGATCAGAGCACTTGTACTGAAAGAAGCATGAACCATTCATTAAGAAGCTTCTTCCTTCCTAATCCCTGAATGCTCCTAATTGATAGTGGCCTTTTTAGAATGGCTGCACTTCCTTAAAGCAAACCCCATGCTGGAACGAGACACCCATGCCTCACCACTGTTCCAGTTACCAGCTCTATTGGGCTTTGAGTCAGGAAAGCTACATGTTTTCAGTCAAAGCCAGATATCTGAATTTCAGCTGAACTTATTAAAACTAATGGTATGCCCCTCATTTTAAGGGTCCTCAATTCCAGGCTTCCACTGAGTCCAAGAAGTAGAGCAAGATTTTTGTGATTAATATAATAGGAGCCAAAAATTGCAGGAAGAAGGAACTGTTCAGAAGGTATTGGTTCATTCCCCATTAGTACTGCTTATGATTTCTACATGTCTAAGGTTTACTATTGAGACTTTTAAGTGCACAAACACCAAAAGTATAAGTGAGTCTACTGTGTACAGCTGCTGGAGATGGAGGAAAGCTGTTTCAGGAGCACACTTAAAGTAAGGCTGAGACCTTGATCCTTCTTTTTCTCTCCTGCAGAACCTGCCAGGGCTCTTTTGTTCCACCTTTAGGTCTCCACTTCAGCATGTTTACATATACCTTACAGAACCAATGCACTGTTGCTCAGCAAGACAAATGGCTACCTGCAACCTATGGACTCCAGATAATTGGAACCTATGCCCAGACTGAGATGGGCCACGGTTAGTTCCTTTTGGAAACCAGTGGGTAACCTCTGTGCTGTGACTCCAGCTAATAAATTGGTGGTGATGCTCTGTAGTTAAAATCTAAAGGGTGAAAGATACAATAAATAAAAATTTAACAATACCAAAAAAACCCCACACCCCAAAGGCCAGTTGACCATTAAGGCCACAGTAGAGTTCTTCTACCGGTTAACAACACAGTGTCTCACTCACAAATGGCTTTAATTATGACTTTTTTTAAAAAATGCACCTCCTGCTTGCTCACTAACTTAATAGTTGTTAAAACAAAGATTAAAAGATGAGGTTTTTGCCCATAGGAGCTTGAACATTTTGTTGATTATGGTGCCAAGGACAGACAGGAGTCAGCTGTAGCTCTATTTGTGCCTGAATTTATGGTATGTAAGTTGCAAAGTTAGGCTAATGCATTGATGAGCAGCCTAAATAACTCAGCCATATGTCTTTAGGTATAATGTAGCTTGATGAAGTTGTGCATCACATGTTTGTGAAAGACTGGTTATTGCTATGCTCTGTCCCAAGCACTGTTTGTTCTAGGTGTAGCTGCATTTAGTTATATATCTTCATGGAAAGTTCCTGTTTTATAGGGAAAAAGCCCTGTTCCTACTTTCTGAATTTATCAAAACACAAGAACTGATCATGGACCCAGGGAATCCTATTTCCTAAGCAGCACAGTGCCCAAGACTGCAAATTATACAAGTCCCAGCAAGAGAAGTTTCAGTGGCTGAGAAAATGAAATGGTTCTCTTTTTACACTTCCTGAATTCAAACCTGGAATGTGCCCAACATACGGTAATTTGCCAGATCAGATGGCAAAACCCATGGTAGATCTCAGTTACTTTGGTTACTACTACATATGCCAGCTGAAAATGCAAAGAAGAGTTACCTGATGGAATTTTTCACATCACTCTGTTAAATCAACAGGCTCCAACTCTAAACCAAACTAGCTAAAGACCAGAAGTTGTGAAACAAGTGGATGATATCCTGTGAATAAACAATTGCTTGCTGATTTTGTTTCCTTTCCCCAACAAGTTTTAAATCAAATCTGTCTTTCTACAAAAGTGATTTGGTTTTGCATGCTTTGTCATTGACCTATCCCTCGGTGACTTTCTTCCCTGGGTGTGGGTCAGTTTGCTTGTAATGTTCACCATGTTCTGTGACTAGCATATTGATTGAATGATATACCTAACACAGCTTGTGAGAGTGATGGTATATTGGAGCAACTCACAATTTCAGTGTCAAAAACTGATTCTTAACATGTCTGTAAGGCATTTCTGCTGTGCATGTTGGATAATTACTATATTATTGCACAGGCTGCATTGATGATAACTGGCTTCTAGTTAATATATTTTTTTAGCCTGATGTTTATAGTGGCTTCGGTGATTCATGATAGGTAATTGGATAGGAGTCTTTATCCAGTCCAGAATGGCAGTGATTAATAGGTGTTGGTATCAGGTTCAGTAGCCTACATGAAATGAGTTGGTTTTCAGTCCATTTTATCATGAATAGGTGTTCATTTAAAACACCATATTTGGGGGCAATTGTCAGTCTGGAATGGCACATGGAAGCCTTTTCTCCCCTCCAAAATGGTCCTCTCTAGCACATGGTTGAGGCTCATTGATGAAGTGGAGTTGAGGGACTATTGTATTGTCACCACCTGTACTGTATCTGTTGTGTTGTTTAAATAAGGATTTCAGTCTTCATTACTAGGGCCTTACCAAATTCATGGTCCGTTTTGGTCAATTTCACGGTCATAGGATTTTAAAAATAATAAATTTCATGATTTCAGCTATTTAAATCTGAAACTTCACAGTGTTGTAATTGTAGGGGTCCTGACCCAAAGAGGAGTGGGGGGGGTCACAAAGTTATTGTGTGTGGGGGGGTGGGGTATGGTACTGCTACCCTTACTTCTGCGCTGCTGCTGGCAGCAGCTCTGCCTTCAGAGCTGGGCTGCTGACTGGGAGCCCAGCTCTGATGGCAGAGCCACCACCATCAGCACAGAAGTAAGGACGACAGGGTATGGTATTGCCACCCTTACTTTGGCGCTGCTGGCTGCAGAGCTGGGCCGTCAGTCAGCAGCCACCACTCTCCAGCTGCCCAGCTCTGAAGGCAGCAGCACAGAAGTAAGGGTGGCCTGGTATGGTATTGCTACCCTTACTAATGCACTGCTGCTGGCAGGGCGCTGCCTTCGGAGCTGGGTGTCCAGCCAACAGCCGCCACTCTCTGGCTGCCCAGCTCTGAATACAGCACGGAAGTAAGGGTGGCAGTACTGTGCCCCCCCACCCCTTAAAATAACCTTGTGACCACCACCACCACACCCTCCCCGCAACTCTTTTGGGTCAGGACTCCCAATTTGAGAAATGCTGGTCTCTTCCCATGAAAACTGTAGCGTATAGGGTAAAAGCACACAAAAGACCAGATTTCATTGGGGGAGACCAGATTTCACAGTCCATGATGCATTTTTCATGGCCGTGAATTTGGTAGGGCCCTATTCATGACAGTCACCTGAGCACCTTTCACAGCACTAAACTCACTTAAAAGCCTGATGTTTCTAATGTTAAAGTGACCATTAAGTCTAACCCAGCTGGGTTACTATATAAGGCATGGGGCGTTACAAAATATTGCTGTCTAACAATTTCTTTTGGATCTTCACTATAACAAGCCCAGAAATTGGGGTTGCCAGCCCTCTGGGATTGGCCTGTAGTCTCCAGGAATTAAAGATGAATCTTTAATTAAAGATTGTCATGTGATTAAAATCTCCAGGAATACATCCAACCAAAATTGGCAACCCTACCAGAAATGCCAAAGTAGAAAGAATTGCTGTTACCAGGAAACTCTATGTGTAAAAGAACATGCCAGTGTATAGTAAAGTGCATCTATATCTAGTACAGAGAATACTCTAATCCATTCTGTCAAGTATTCCAGACCTTTAAGCGTCTACGTTGAGACCAGTGCTTTTTCAGGAACCCAAATCTGTCACCTGAAAAATAGGTTCATTCTATGAATGACTTGGCAAAAAACTACATATTTGTAGAGTGTAAAATATAGGTACCGGACATGTTGTCTTTAGAGGATCAACACTTCTGCAATATCTGCATCCCAGCCACTCTAGTGCTTTTCCCTTTTCACTATGTGCTGGTGTCAGCAGTTGAGAAATAATCCTACCCTCTCACTACTACTTTCCAACAGATGAGGAAATGTTTTTCACCAAAGTATCCAAAATGTCCTTTTGTGAAACCTCTTACAAGAAGTTCCAATTGGATGAATTATCTTGTGAGACTTCAAAACAAAGAAACAATCTTAGGTTATCACAGTTGGGAGATTTGGGGATCAAAGAGAAACAGTTCTCTAAGTAGTTGAAGGTATCGAAATTATTAAGGGTTGTTAATAATAATACATTACATTTTCTGGTGTCCAAAGACTTCTGGACTCTAGAACTAAAAATAACCTGATAACCAGTATCTGAGAGAATTTGGAGTCGGCTAGATGAAGTGGAAGGTACACATTATAATAAAGCATGTTTGATTGGGGGCAGGGGCTCTGTTCTGGTGATGCCTTGACTGATAAATGTTTTTTCACACACAGCTGCAGTTGCGGTCACTAGCTTTGACTGATTGCTTATGCAGAGCACTGTCCTTTTTTGTTTGAAGTTTTCTAAAGAGCAGACAAAATTTAACAAAAGAGGCTGTGTTGGAGGATGGAGGAGATCATAGTTGGAACTCAAGTCCATATATGCTACATATGTCTAATTTGCAAGTCCAAAGCAAAATCTAAAACATTGATAGCTATGACAAGTTTAAGAAATCTAGATGGAAGCATTGCTCTTTCTGCTGAAACAAGTGGGATTTCGAGTGGTAAGGGGTTTGAGTACTTCCTGGAACCCCATTCAAACCATGAAGATGTGTAGACTTGCCTCAGTTCCAAAATAATCCAGTCAAACTTCATCCAACCAGCTCTGTCTTAAACTAAAACACAACCTGACTCATGCCAGCCTTTTATCCATTTTAAATTCAAATGTGTACTTGCTTCCAGAATCTTCTTTCTCACTGGTTTGTATTAACTCTCTATACTAGCCAATATGCTACATCAGAAATAGATTTTCCTCTTTAAACTGGAGCCAAAGCTAAAAAGGGGAGTGTTGCAAATGTTGCCCTGCTTAGCAAAGAGGAAAATGCACTGCAGTGTGGTTGAGTATGCAAGATTTCTTTATAATACAGACCAGGACAGTGCTTTTGGTTTTCTGAAATTTGCATGCTAAATTCTTAACACAATTCATTTTTTTTTTTCCCCCTCAATCTTCACCTTCAACATCATGCTTGCTTCCTTCCCATAATATTCCCTTCACATTCCCACCCCTCGGCATTTTGGCACAGCTCTATTCATCGTGGACGGCCTGAGCCTCTGGACCTCCACCTGGGCATGTTCTTGCCCACCCTCCTCACCCAGGCAACCCTGGAACAGCAGGACCGATTCTTCATGCCTGCCTGGAATCTGGAGATCATTGGCACTTATGCTCAAACCGAGATGGGTCACGGTACAGTACATTCGCTCAAGTATATTCACAAAGGTGTTTTCTGTACAGAGGATGTTTATCTGCATGGGGAAAATATCATGCGCTTTCCAGAATCTCTGCAGGTGCAGTTCTGGTCATGGGGAAAAGTGTACACTCTCTGGAATTTTAAATAGTTCACATGTCTATGCATAGTACCACTCTGTTTAATGTTTGATCTCTAAGAGTTTCTGATGTGCCCATCACTGTGGTATCTGGGTGTATTTGATATTCACTTGTCACTCAAATGAGGGAGACTGTGACTAATGAAAATACTCTATTTGTATGGGTGTATTGATAAGAGCATATTGCAGCTTCTAGACCCACGTGAATTTCCAGAATGACTTCTGCCTCTTCCTGATCAGTTTGGTTGCTCTACTTGGCACTCAGCTGGAAGGCAGGAGTGCAGACCTTTACAGAGCCTGAAAGAGATACTAAAATAATAAGTTAGTTTTCAATTGCGGCTGACCATAGTTTGGAGATCACCTGGGTAAGCCCAGTATCTGCACCCACATTTCTCTTTTAAGTTCCCTCTTTATGGCATGTTCTTTTCATCATCAAGAATTGAATGGTTTTTCTCCTTTGTCCATCCACTTCTCACTCAGTTAGTTTTACAGGTGCCTTTCCTCTGCTTACAGGCTTAGGGAGAGGTGACAGATACTCAATGTTTTCTCATCATTTTTTTTTTTCCCCAACCAAATTTCAATGTCCCTGGCAATGACCCAGTTTCCTAGCCCTAGGCACAAGTGAGCATTTGCTGAAGTCTTGCAAGATCAGTGGGGACCATGTGTATGTGTCACACAACTTCACAACACATAAGCAAGTTCTACCTGGGAGACGTTTGTTTTCTAAACTTGTCAGTAGGAAAATGTTTTGAATCGTGAGCTTGGATCCATCCTTCACTGACAGTGAGACATCAAGTGACAATGAAGACTGACTTGCAGATATTTTAGTAGTAAAAGCACAGTCATTTGAAATGAGAAGCGTATGTACAATCAGGTTTGAAGCTTATGATTGTGGGGGTGGCCTGGCAATTCAGTAAGGGAGTATTAAGTTGTCTATGGAGACACCAGAGTTAGATCTACAAACTTTGGAAATTGGTGCATGGACACATCATGGTAGGGTCAGGCCTCTTGATGAAATACGCATGTAGTGTCAATGGTTCTGTAATGGTCTGCCACTCTGGAGCATCAAGTCAGTCCACAGCTGGTCATCTACATCTAGAGTTAAATTGACTGGATACCAGTGCAGGGAATGTCATCTGGCAGATATAGCTGCCTTCAGTTTGCGTGAAGTGAGGACTTGGGACGAGGGGAGTGGAAGCAGTTAATGGAACTGTTACCTTCAGCCTATTGTAGGTGCCCGAAAAATCTTCGGTAATCTAGCGTATATGTGCTCTTGTGTTCTCACGTGGATTTGGGAGAAACCGCTCTATCAGATGAGTGGTATACAAGCCCATTGGAGAGGGAATAATGATGGTAGCACTTCTGAGACCATGTTTTGTTAAATGCATGTGACTTTGTTTTGCAACTAATCAGATTCCAGTGTCAGTGTAATCAGGCTAAGATATGACATTGTAGATATGACATTGTAGATCATTTCTTGATCATATGCTTCTTGATGCAAAACAAGCAAAGTGTCAAGGTGGAGGTGCTTGAAAACTAAAGGGCCTAATTTTGGAACAACCTGGATACTGGCACTTGTATCATTTGAAATAATTTTACATTTCTGGCTTGGTGCCCAGGCTGTCAGATTAATAACTCCCATACTTCTAAAATGCCGTGCTCTTAAGTGTACACTGTGGTGTGCCCTCTCTGCCTTTTGGGTTATATCGTTTGTTGCATCACTGCTGGAGTTCAGCAATTCATTGTTCAGTTCTGTTTCTGTTGTCATCTGTGACTGTTAAAATATAATGTGCTAACTACCCATAGGAACTCACCTTCGAGGCTTGGAAACTACTGCCACCTATGACCCCGCTACCCAGGAATTCATTCTCAACAGCCCCACTGTGACTTCCATTAAGTGGTGGCCAGGTGGACGTAAGTGAATCACTGTGCATTTGAACTTGGAAGCTAAAGGAGGCACTCTCCTGTCTGTAGGAGGTGGTGATTCATATCCATGTTAGGACTGCTGCATCTGGAAGGTAGTGACTGGAAATGGGTACAGAAGGAAGTTGTGTGTAGAGCTAAATCATTCTTCAGCCAAGTAGGAAACTTATCAAAGTTCAGCTGTAATCTTGGATCACCAAATTTCTTTGGGCATTTTTTTTGAGTTGTTACACAACATGAGTTTAGAATGACTTTAATCTGAAGTTTTATCCCCTGTGTATTTGAAGCCCCTCCTTCATTTCTGATGTAGGCAGAGCCCCTTTGACTTCAGTAGGAGTCTTGCCAAGGAATTGTTTAGTACTGAATGTGATTCTTGAGAGTCATGAAGCTGCTTCACACACAACATAAGTGACTTTAATGAGAGTTTCATTTGTGAGCCAGCTATGGGATCAGACCCTTAATTAGCATTGAAGAGCTAATATATAGTAGAGCTCGTCAAATCTCAGATGGTGTTTTATCGAAGAGAGAGTATTAAAATGATATTTTTTTTCTCTGCTCTTGCAGTTGGAAAGACCTCAAACCATGCCATAGTTCTGGCTCAGCTCTACACCCAGGGCCAATGCAAAGGGCTGCATGCCTTCATTGTACCCATACGGCAGCTGGGCACCCATGAGCCCTTGCCAGGTAAGAGTCTACATTGGGGTTTAGCACTGTTGGGAAACAAAGGGTGAACACATTGTCAGGCCATATAGCTTTGCAAGTATTGTTAACATACATGGCTTATCTTTCAGACTGAACTCAGGTAGGAAGTGCATTGCAGAACTATAACACTTCAGCACAAGTGTGTGGATAGATCTTGTGTGGCTCTAGAAGCCTGAGGGCTCTTACCTTAAGACTTAAAATGACAAGGCCAATCTAGTGGTTTAGTGGTAACCGAAAGTGGAGGTTAGTTTGGGATATCACCAAGTTGCTGTACTCCCAAGCTGGAAGTGCTGTGGAGACCACATGCTCCTCTCCCCAAGAGAGAAGGAATTCCTTGCATCGTTCTCTAGCCAGGAGTGGCACTGACAAATTTTGGAGAGCGTTCCCCCAATCCCTGTATTATAGGACGGGATGTGGAGTATGAAGATCCTTGTGGGTTTTCATCCACACTCTTGCAATAAGAGGACAGGATAATGTTAAGTCTGCTTATCTGCTGCCATTCATATCAGAATGCCAAGAGCTCCCAGAAATCTAGACTGCCTGCTTATTGAAGGGTTAGGTCTTTCACCTGTTGTTAATTCTGACTCTTTCCCACTGTTCTATGGCAGGTATTACTGTGGGTGACATTGGGCCAAAATTTGGTTATGATGAAATGGATAATGGCTACTTAAAAATGGACAAGTTCCGCATTCCCCGGGAGAACATGCTGATGAAGTACGCCAAGGTAAAGGAGTGAGCTCTGGAGCCAGTCATTAACAGCTCTTTTGTAGTGAGCTGGCACAGAGTTTTCAACATACTTTAACTCTTCCCTCTCTGGGTTAAATCCGTCCCCATTGCTTACCAGTGGGTTCTCTGTGGAATCCTCTGACCATGAGGATCCCCTTATTTTTCATTTTCCACCCTGAAAATCCTACATCACAGCTATCATCTTTGCTGTCTAGAGAAGCAAACTTGCCTCCTTTAGGACCCTGTCAAAGTCAACCCTTAACTGGCCAGAGGGGTTGCTACTGAGCTATGCGTGGAAGAAATGATACTCTTGTATTGTCCTAGGATCTACAGAGGCCTTCCAGCCCTCTATTATAAAGCCAGGAGTAAGAAGGGTTTGTTTCTTAATCTCCAGAACTTCCTCCAACTCTGACTAAATGGATCTTATTACTAAGGCTATGTTTTAATCACAGGTATTTTTAGTAAAAGTCATGAACAGGTCACAGTCAGTAAACAAAAATTCACATGACCTGTCCATAACTTTTACTCTATACCCCGACTAAAACTTGGGTGGGAGGACAGGGATGGCCTGTGCGGTGTGTCGCTGGGGTTGGGGGCACAGCCTGCGGGGCTCCAGGGGTGCTGGGGAGGGGTTGGTAGGGCTGGGGCAGGGTCCATACCCAGCACCTGAGAAGCGGCGACCCCAGCTCCTAGCTCAGAGAACTCAAACTGAAATCACCATGAGGGCCACATGAGGACTAGTACATTGGCCTGAGGGCCGCATCACTGAAACCTTCCATGAGGCCCTGCCTCTGCCCCACCTCTTCCCACCCTTCCCCACCCACATTCCAGCCCCTTCCCCAAATCCCCGCCCTGGCCCCGCCTCTTCTCCGCCTCCTCTCCTGAGCGCGCCATGTCCCTGCTCCTCCCATCTCCCTCCTGGAAAGTGCTAAGCACCGCCAAACAGCTGTTTGGCGGCAGGAAAGCACTGGAAGGTAGGGGAAGACTGCCCCAGCGGCAACCAGTGCAACTGGCCGAGGGGTTGCCCGAGCTGCTCAGGCGGCTCCTGGGCCAGCCACACCCGGCTGCTGCAGAAGTCACTGAGGTCATGGAATCCGTGACCTCCATGACAAACACGGAGCCTTACTTATTGCTAAGGTTTAACTGACAGTTGATCCTTGTGCAACTCTTTGTTTCGAATAACCCCCTTCACTTCACATCCTATGGTTCCCATGAGCAAGTTCAGTATATTTCATTTCTGTAGCTGCTCTTAATCCCAAATCATTCAGTCACTTTGCACAACAGGGGTGGATGTGGCAGCTGTTTAACACACACCACCGCCACCATACAATAAGCTTGCTTAGGAAGTGAGGAAGAATACTGCATCCATCAGAAACTAAAGCAGGAATTTAGAGGCAGAATGGAATTGTCCAAATTGGAATATGACCAGCTATGGCCATTAACAGCTCTTCCATTAGGAGAAGTGCATGAGATCTTTAATGACCATTTTAGGACTCATCCAAAAGGCAACTCCTCAGGCAAGCACCCTGTGACTGTAATTAATTACTGACTCAGAGGGAAGAGTGCCATCCACTGAATTATTAGCACTTCCTGTAGAGCCTTGGGTTTATCTTTAGGAGTTTCTCATGCAAGTATTGCTAAGGAGTAGATGATCTCTTTAGGTCCCTTCAACCCCACTTTTCTATGATTCTAAGACCTGTGCCTTATTAAATGTGACTTAATGTGGTTAGGGTATGTCTACACTATGAAATTAAGTCGAATTTATAGAAGTCGGTTTTTTAGACATCGGTTTTATATATTCGAGTGTGTGTGTCCCCACAGAAAATGCTCTAAGTGCATTAACTCGGCGGAGAGCTTCCACAGTACCGAGGCAAGCGTCGACTTCCGGAGCGTTGCACTGTGGGTAGCTATCCCACAGTTCCCGCAGTCTCCGCTGCCCATTGGAATTCTGGGTTGAGATCCCAATGCCTGATGGGGCTAAAACATTGTGCGGGTGGTTCTGGGTACATATCGTCAGCCCCCCGTTCCCTCCCTCCCCCCCCCCCCCGTGAAAGCAAGGGCAGACAATCATTTCGTGCCTTTTTTCCTGAGTTACCTGTGCAGACGCCATACCACGGCAAGCATGGAGCCCGCTCAGCTCACTTTGGCAATTAGGAGCACATTAACCACCACACGCATTATTCAGCAGTATATGCAGCACCAGAACATGGCAACGTGATACCGGGCGAGGAGGCGACGTCAGCGCGGTCCCGTGAGTGATCAGGACATGGACACAGATTTCTCTGAAAGCATGGGCCCTGACAATGCATGCATCATGGTGCTAATGGGGCAGGTTCATGCTGTGGAACGCCGATTCTGGGCTCGGGAAACAAGCACAGACTGGTGGGACCTCATAGTGTTGCAGGTCTGGGACGATTCCCAGTGGCTGCGAAACTTTCGCATGCATAGGGGCACTTTCATGGAACTTTGTGACTTGCTTTCCCCTGCCCTGAAGCGCATGAATACCAAGATGAGAGCAGCCCTCACAGTTGAGAAGCGAGTGGCGATAGCCCTGTGGAAGCTTGCAACGCCAGACAGCTACCGGTCAGTTGGGAATCAATTTGGAGTGGGCAAATCTACTGTGGGGGCTGCTGTGATGCAAGTAGCCCACGCAATCAAAGATCTGCTGATATCAAGGGTAGTGACCCTGGGAAATGTGCAGGTCATAGTGGATGGCTTTGCTGCAATGGGATTCCCAAACTGTGGTGGGGCTATAGACGGAACCCATATCCCTATCTTGGCACCGGAGCACCAAGCCGCCGAGTACATAAACCGCAAGGGGTACTTTTCGATAGTGCTGCAAGCTCTGGTGGATCACAAGGGACGTTTCACCAACATCAACGTGGGATGGCCGGGAAAGGTGCATGATGCTCGCATCTTCAGGAACTCTGGTCTGTTTCAAAAGCTGCAGGAAGGGACTTTATTCCCAGACCAGAAAATAACTGTTGGGGATGTTGAAATGCCTATATGTATCCTTGGGGACCCAGCCTACCCCTTAATGCCATGGCTCATGAAGCCATACACAGGCAGCCTGGACAGTGGTCAGGAGCTGTTCAACTACAGGCTGAGCAAGTGCAGAATGGTGGTAGAATGTGCATTTGGACGTTTAAAGGCGCGCTGGCGCAGTTTACTGACTCGCTTAGACCTCAGCGAAACCAATATTCCCACTGTTATTACTGCTTGCTGTGTGCTCCACAATATCTGTGAGAGTAAGGGGGAGACATTTATGGCCAGGGGGGAGGTTGAGGCAAATCGCCTAGCTGCTGGTTACGCGCAGCCAGACACCAGGGCGGTTAGAAGAGCACAGGAGGGCGCGGTACGCATCAGAGAAGCTTTGAAAACCAGTTTCATGACTGGCCAGGCTACGGTGTGAAAGTTCTGTTGGTTTCTCCTTGATGAACCCCCCCGCCCCTTGGTTCACTCTACTTCCCTGTAAGCTAACCACCCTCCCCTCCTCCCTTTAATCATTGCTTTCAGAGCCAATAAAGTCATTGCTGCTTCACAGTCATGCATTCGTTATTCATTCATCACACAAATAGGGGGATGACTACCAAGGTATCCCAGGAGGGGTGGTGGAGGAGGGAAGGAAAATGCCACACAGCACTTTAAGCACAGCACTTTAAAAGTTTACAACTTTAAAATTTATTGAATGACAGCCTTCTTTTTTTTGGGCAATCCTCTGTGGTGGAGTGGCTGGTTGGCCGGAGGCCCCCCCACCGCGTTCTTGGGCGTCTGGGTGTGGAGGCTATGGAACTTGGGGAGGAGGGCGGTTGGTTACAGAGGGGCTGCAGTGGCAGTCTGTGCTCCAGCTGCCTTTGCTGCAGCTCAACCATACACTGGAGCATACTGGTTTGGTCCTGCAGCAGCCTCAGCATTGAATCCTGCCTCCTCTCATCACGCTGCCGCCACCTTTGAGCTTCAGCCCTGTCTTCAGCCCGCCACTTACTCTCTTCAGCCCGCCACTTACTCTCTTCAGCCCTCCCACCTCTCCTCCCGGTCATTTTGTGCTTTCCTGCACTCTGACATTATTTGCCTCCACACATTCGTCTGTGCTCTGTCAGTGTGGGAGGACAGCATGAGCTCGGAGAACATTTCATCGCGAGTGCGTTTTTTTTTCTTTCTAAGCTTCACTAGCCTCTGGGAAGGAGAAGATCCTGTGATCATTGAAACACATGCAGCTGGTGGAGAAAAAAAAAAGGGACAGCGGTATTTAAAAAGACACATTTTATAAAACAGTCGCTACACTCTTTCAGGGTAAACCTTGCTGTTAACATTACATACATAGCACATGTGCTTTCGTTACAAGGTCGCATTTTGCCTCCTCCCACCGCGTGAACGGATTTTGGTTGAATGCCAGCAAACATACACTGCAATGTTTTGTTCTACAGTGATTCCCGAGTACGTGTTACTGGCCTGGAGTGGTAAAGTGTCCTACCATGAAGGACGAAATAAGGCTGCCCTCCCCAGAAACCTTTTGCAAAGGCAGAACCGCAAATGCCAGGGCAAAGTAATCCTTTCACATGCTTGCTTTTAAACCATGTATAGCATTTTAAAAGGTACACTCACCAGAGGTCCCTTCTCCGCCTGCTGAGTCCAGGAGGCAGTCTTGGGTGGGTTCGGGGGGTACTGGCTCCAGGTCTAGGGTGAGAAACAGTTCCTGGCTGTCGGGAAAACCGGTTTCTCCGCTTGCTTGCTGTGAGCTATCTACAACCTCCTCATCATCATCTTCTTCGTCCCCAAAACCTACTTCCGTATTGCCTCCATCTCCATTGAAGGAGTCAAACAACACGGCTGAGGTAGTGGTGGCTGAACCCCCTAAAATGGCATGCAGCTCATCATAGAAGCGGCATGTTTGGGGCTCTGACCCAGAGCGGCTGTTCGCCTCTCTGGTTTTTTGGTAGGCTTGCCTCAGCTCCTTCAGTTTCATGCGGCACTGCTTCGGGTCCCTGTTATGGCCTCTGTCCTTCATGCCCTGGGAGATTTTCACAAAGGTTTTGGCATTTCGAAAACTGGAACGGAGTTCTGATAGCACGGATTCCTCTCCCCAAACAGCGATCAGATCCCGTACCTCCCGTTCGGTCCATGCTGGAGCTCTTTTGCGATTCTGGGACTCCATCATGGTCACCTGTGCTGATGAGCTCTGCATGGTCACCTGCAGCTTGCCACACTGGCCAAACAGGAAATGAGATTCAAAAGTTTGCGGTTCTTTTCCTGTCTACCTGGCCAGTGCATCTGAGTTGAGAGTGCTGTCCAGAGCGGTCATAATGGAGCACTCTGGGATAGCTCCCGGAGGCCAATACCATCGAATTGTGTCCACAGTACCCCAAATTCGAGCCGGCAACGTCGATTTAAGCGCTAATCCACTTGTCAGGGGTGGAGTAAGGAAATCGATTTTAAGAGCCCTTTAAGTCGAAATAAAGGGCTTCATTGTGTGGACGGGTGCAGGTTTAAATCGATTTAACGCTGCTAAATTCGACCTAAAGTCCTAGTGTAGACCAGGGCTTAGAGTCCAATCTGATATAGCTGAAGACCATCGAATTATTGCTTGCACAGGACTCTCTAGAATAGTAACTCTGCTCTCCATGATGCACCGAGAAAAATGTCAAAACATTTAGAACAGTAGACATAAGTTTGATCACTTTTACAAGAACGTCTGTTGGTTTGCCTTTTTCTTGAATGTGCAAGGAACTTGAGAGAAATATGTCACTGTCTCTGCAGCCCTCATCCTTTTGCTTGCAGCTACTACAGTGAGAACCACGCTAAAACTCTTCAAGTGAGGTAAGGGACATTATACTTGTGTCATGGTGTTCTTTGACAGAGGCTTGTGAAGGGTAGATGCCACTTGGTAGGTGTGCTCATGTACATTCTGTTCCACAGCAAGGTGGCAGCTGCTGCTGAAATTTAGAAGGCAGGAAACCCCTTGGGTCACCATCCTGTCTTTCTGTTAGGTTGAACCAGATGGCACATACGTGAAACCACTCAGTGACAAGCTGACTTATGGGACCATGGTGTTCATCCGATCCCTCATTGTGGGGGATTCTGCTCGCTCGTTGTCCAGGGCTTGTACCATTGCCATCCGCTACAGTTCAGTGAGGCACCAGTCTGAGCTAAAGCCAGGGTAAGTGTAGTGGCTGCAGTGAAATGAAGGGCCTGCCTGCGTCATGAGTTGAAATGCCAAAAATAAATGGATGTTAGACAAAAGGCAAGCATTTTGGGGAGGGCTGGGGATGCAGATTGTGGATGATGCAATTTACCGTGGCAATTGAAAGAGAAGTACAGATGCCTCCTCACTCCTAGCTGGAGCTGAGTGAAATGCAGGATTTCCAGTTTGCAGAAAACTTTGTGATTTGTAAATGTGATGTCATTCCAAATGGGAATGAAATTAAATGTATTTGAAATTTTCATGAACCCAAAATTCTGGGGGGGGGGTGAAAATTCTCATACAATGCATGGTGTTTCCAAAAAGAAATCTACTCCAGGGACCTGGACAGCTGCTGAGTGAAATTGACCTCCTTGTCTTTTTCACCCCTGTTATTAATGGTTAAAATGAAATAATTAATCTGCAGCTGTCTAGGCCTCACCAAACGCTTGACTGGCATTGCAGGGAGCCAGCAGGAATCTCTGGGGATCCCCACATACTGGCTGCTGGAGGAGGTGACTGCAGGGCTGGGAGTGGAGCTGGTTGAAGGTTTTTCAGCAGAAAATCAAAGTGACAGTTCTATGGCTCCTTGCGTGGAATGCTCTTGTCAATTCCGCTTTCCTGGAGGACTGCCAAGGCAGAGAAGGCCCCATGATGCCCTGCCTCCAAATCTCTGGGAGCCACTGAGGCAGAGAAACCCACAATTCCAGAGCTTCCAGATTACTTGTTGTGGGAAACACGAGTCTGAAAGCTCTGGCTTTAATAGAGCCTTGAGTCTTGACTCTGCAGCAACCAACCTGGAAGCCCTGAGAACTCTGCCTTGAACTGGGACTGTCAGGACTTCCAAGCTCCCTGGCACAGAGCCAGGGTCTGCAGCTCTGGGGCACTAGAATTTACAACCTTCATTATGGACTCCAGTATGTGTAGGTAAGCTCTTACTGTTGTACAGGATGTCTGCAGAAACTTGGCAGCAGTCACAGTAATGACTCTCATGTATTGCTATAGGGAACCGGAGCCCCAGATCTTGGACTATCAAACCCAACAATACAAACTCTTTCCTCTCCTGGCAACTGCCTTTGCCTTTCACTTTGTTGGAGCCTACATGAAAAAGACCTATCAGCGCATCACTGGTGACATCAACCAGGGAGACCTGAGCGAGCTGCCAGAGGTAATTATCCTGTCTGAAAACTGGAGGGTGATTCTGATACTTTATGTAAAAGCTGCTGTGGCCTACGAGCTAATGGTCCCCAGTCCTCTTGGGCAAGCAATAGAGGCTTTGAGATTTTCAAATCCAGAGGTTCTAGATTCAATCCCTCCTGATAATTCACCCAGAGGCATCATTCCATTTGCATCTATATACTGCACTGCACCTTTAAAAAATGTGAGTTAGTGACTCACCCAAGATCACCCAGAATGAGGTTTTGCTGAGCTGGGAATGAAACCCAGCAGTTTTGACTTCAAGTCCTCTATGGTAGCCACTGGACCATGCTTCCAATGAACCAGGGAAGAACTGCTGTTAATCAAAGATATAGGCAGAACTAAGAACTTTGTGAGAGTGGGGTTGTAAGGTGCAATCACTTAGTGGGTGGCCGAAGGAATACGGTGAAATGACAATATGCAATGGAAACCCATCTTTGTCTTGTAGACAAGACAAAGCATTGGAGTATACACTGTAAAGAATATGGCATAGGTAGAGAGAAATGAGCTGCATGACCTAATAAGTATTTTCTAGCACTAACTTCTGATGATATAACTGAGGTCAACAAAAGGTAAAGATTGAATAACACTATGATAAGCAGCAGGTAGATGGTGCTGATTGTACAGTATAATCATTCTGTTGACTGCCACTGAAGCCCATTGTGCTTGTGAGCTAATAGTGGAAATGCAAACTGGGTGGCATCTGTGGTAAAGCAGTGACCTAATGCAATAGACTTGGCAGCTACCAGTTCTGCTTTTCTCCCTTAGCTCCACGCGTTGTCTGCAGGGCTAAAGGCATTCACTTCATGGACAGCCAACGCTGGCATTGAAGAATGTCGAATGGCATGTGGTGGGCATGGCTACTCTCGTTGCAGTGGCCTTCCTGATATCTATGTTAATTTCACCCCATCCTGCACCTACGAGGGAGAAAACACTGTCATGATGTTGCAGACTGCTAGGTGAGGTGACTTCTTTCAAGAGATCTCCCTACTTAGTCGTTAGTTGTCTGGAGAGATGGTCAGAAGGGCACAGAGACCACCTGTCCACTACCACCTAACCTGCAATATTCCTTCTCTTGGATCTATATATTTCTGTCCCCTTCTCTGGCTTCTGCTATAACTGCAAGTATATGCAACTCCTATATATTGGCTAGTAGTTCTACAGACTAAACCCAAAAGTTAATCTGTCTATTCTGTATCCAAATGAATGGGGCAATGCAATCCATCTTTCTTTCTTTTTTTTTTTTTTATTCAGGTTCCTGATCAAAAGTTACACCCAGGTTAGTTCAGGTCACCTGGTTAGTGGCATGGTGTCTTACCTTAACGACCTCTCAGGGCAACACATCCAGCCACAGCAGGTGGCTGCTAGGCCTACAACGGTGCACATCAATGACCCAGCCAGCTTGATGGAGGTGTATAAACTGCGGGCATCAAGGTGAGTTCACACTTAATGCAAAGAACTATGCATTAATAAAATGCTGTAGAGTGTTTGTTAGTGAGAAATGTGATAGAGCTAAGCTATTCTGTTAGTGCAGCAGCATGCAACGTATGGTCTGCAGACCGCGTCTGTCCAAGTGAAATATCTTTTTAATCTTCAAGAAGTGATGCTTTCTGCTAGGTGTTACCTAATCCCAGCTACTTAAAGTTTCAAAAAACTCTTGACCATCTAAATTCAACACAATTTAAGCACTTGAGCTCCCTGTGCAGCTGGTTTGAGGGTTTTTTGGTGTAAATTCAAACTTGCAGATGCCAAAATTAATCAAACTGCAGTTACCTTCCTGGAGAGGTTAAAATAGTTGTGACTACAGACCTGGTGGGGAGGAGAGTCAGTATAAAGCCCTACATCTGGGGAGGGGAAAAATAAATAGCACAGGTACTAAATGGGGACATGAGGCTGCTTGAATATTTCCATCTCATTAAAATGAGGTTTATTTTTATCCTGTTTCCTTAAAGCTGTCCTAATACTACTCTGATGTAGCCATGCCATCCTAGTTGCACGAATGAACATGTGGGTTCTGGAACAGCAAATGTTGGGATGGGGTGAGAATTGAGCTCCTTAGTGCCTAATGCATCAGTAAGACATCAGCCAGTTTCTGTGAATTTTCTGTAGTTGGTATGAGGTCACTTTGCAGACTGTTTCTCTCTTCACCCACCCTCCCCACACACCTTGTGTAAAATAGACTTGTTGAAGCGGCAGCAAAGAACTTGAAAGCTGAGCTGAACCGCAGGAAGAGCCAGGAAGATGCCTGGAACCGAACCTCTGTTGACCTGGTGCGAGCATCTGAGGTCAGTAACGTCACTAAATAAGCACATTTTGGAAGCATCTCAACTCTACATTCTCCTGTCTTCGGCTTCTGACCTTGAATTCCCTACTGTTGGGGTTTTTTTTTTATACCACTTTTGCAGGCACACTGTCACTATGTGGTGGTGAAGCTTTTCACAGCACAGCTCTTAGGAATTAATGATGCAGCTGTCCATGCTGTGATGAACAATCTGTGTCTCCTGTATTCACTCTATGGAATCAGTAAGCACACAGGGGATTTCCTGCAGGTCAGTATCACAGTTTAGTATCGGAGCTCAGACCAAGTGTAAGTAGTCTCTTGGTCTATTAAAGGCTATGATTAAGTGTCTTGATGTGCTTGGTCTTTTGGCCCCGAGATGAAAGCCTTGTCTGTGTCTCTTGGACACTGAAGTGCAAACTTTATCTTTTAAGTTATATCTGTTCTTATCAGTTTAATATCCCAGATCTCAAGGGCCACAGTGCTCTGGTCTGAAGTTACCATGAGATGGAAGACAACTGCCATTGCCTGGAGTGTTCAGGCTTGTGAGCTCCAGTGGTAAGCCTGGCATAAGGCAGAACTATTTCAGAGGGGGCGCTAGAATTAGCTTCCTTTTGCAGCCCTCCAAAGGCAGAGTTGGATGGCCATTAGGATATGGTCAAAGATTCATCTCTTTAGACCGGCTTCTTGTTTTCAGGTCAGTGACTGGTAGATTGTGTAGATTATCAAGCAGGGAGATAATATGAGATGGATATTATGCACATGTGGTGATGCCAGTAATTGTTTACACACCCCAGCATGGGCGGTACCCATTTGTAAATAAGCACAGAAGAAAAGGGCCTGGCCTTCAAAACCTTTCATCTAGATCAGTCTCCTGTCTGAGTATCCAAGTGGTCTGATCCAAGCTACTTCTCTCTCTCTCAACTCCTATGGTGCTAGAGCATACTTGTACAAACAGTGGGATTTGTAAGTTCATGCTGACATAAGTATGGTCTCTCATTGCCGCTTCCTCCATTTACAAAACAGAGTTATGAAAACAGGAAGGATTTAATATAATGCAGGTGCTAAGAGAACTTCTGATTTTGGGGGTTAAAATACAAGCATTTTCATTCTTTGGAGTCACCTCACTAAGAGGAAATAGGCTGAAGGGATGGTTGTCTTCCTCCTGTCTAGAAGACCAATGCAATTACTTAGCATTTTACTATCTCTAATATTTTGACATACTGGCCTTCCCTGTAGGGGAGAGTTGACCTGCAGTCTAGTCTCTCACAAAGAACCATGAGAGTTTGTGCGTGTAATTAGATTCTGTTCTGATAAGTCTCTTGGCTTTTGTCCCAGGCGGGCATTTTGACAGATGCACAGGTTACTCAGGTGTACCAGCGTGTGAAGGAGCTTCTGGCTGCAATCCGTCCCAATGCTGTAGCACTAGTTGATGCCTTTGATTTTCATGATGATCACCTTGGATCTGTGCTTGGCCGGTATGATGGCAACATCTACGAGAATATGTTTGAATGGGCAAAGAAATCCCCACTAAACAAAACAGAGGTAAGGATGAACCCTTATTTCTCCCTCCTCGTTCCTACTCTACTTGTCATGGAGCCAAATGATTCAGCACAAAGCAATTGCAGCTACAAAAGCCCTGCTGGAAGATTCTGCAAAAAACAAATGCCTTTACAAAGTGTGACTATTTTTAATGAGGAAAGAAACTGACAGTTGCCCTCTAGGTTTCTGAGAATATCTGCTGCATTTCTGAATCTGTTTGTAGCTGCTGTAGTCAAAAACCAGAGACCTATACGGTAATGTGCCAGGGACAGTTCTCCATCTTGGAAAACAGGATTGACTACAGTACCCTGCCAATATACTGTAGCTTTCTTTTGCCTTGTTTAGGTCCATAGTTGATTAGGTATCTTGAACCTGAGGCTAAGTCAGACTTGTAAACACTGCTAGGAATCCCAACAGGGTCAATCAGCCCTTTGTTCTCTCAGAATCAACTGGGAGCATGCAGTTTCCTGTGGGAATTTAATGTTTTTTAAACAGACTTGTCCACTCTCCATAGACATTAAAGATTCCAATGCCCTTCTTGTGAGGAATAGTTGAGGAAGGCAGTTTGTTCCTGTGTTCTGGCCAGATTTCCCCTTTTTTGACTGCTACCAGCATACTGCAGAGGTGGCTGTTTAACTGGTTCTCTATTTGTATAGATACATTTTGATCCTGCAGGAAATGTGTTTAAAAATAAAAACATAACAAGAAAATTATTTTTATCTAATTTCCCTTTTTTTCCCCCTACAGGTTCATGAGTCTTTCCAGAAGCATCTGAAGCCAATGCAAGCCAAGCTGTGAAAATGTTTTTTAAAAACACGCTATTGTCCAGCTCTCTAAATTGGATGTCATTGCTTTCCATCAGGCACCTGAATCAAATCTTTGAAATCCCAATAACTGTAGGACAGTAAATAATTGTAGCCTCTCTTTCCATTTTTATATATTGACAGGGTGGGATGGGGGAAATTAGAGAAATTGTATAAGAAGGGGTGTGTGTTTTTTTTAAAGTGCAATTATAATCCTTGAGAAATGTACCTTTTTAAGCATTGGGGAAAGTTGTACAGATTCATGTAAGGCTTCCATTTGTGAAGCTGCTAACTGCAAAGGTCATTCATCTGGAAAGCATAGTAGGATTTTACTACTAAGTAGTTAACTGCATTCAGGCAATAGCTGCTGACGAACAGCTATGTCTTGTTAAAAACACTTTTAACTCAGCAACACCCTTCTGCCAACATGGTGTACCCCTACGTACACACGCAGCTGCTGTCAGAATCCTCTGCATCTTGCTATGCACAGTGACACCTACATGAACTAGTCAGGATCAAGGGTTTACACAGGGAGTTGTTGGGTCTTAATCAAAGCTCTGTGATATTCTCCATTTTAATCCATCTTTCTCCCAGTTTCTTATTACTGTCTCCCTGGGCACAGCACTGTCCTTCCAGCAGGGGTGCCTGAACCTCCTTCCCTGCAGCAGGACCTTCCAGATGCAGTTTGGAATTATATCCCCTTTTTTTCTCTGGAGCTCAGCCTCAATCAAATCATCCACTGAGCTTTCTCCATGGTATTTCATTCCATCCTTTCTTTCTTCAACCTGCAAACACCCTCTTTACACCCCCATATCCCATGTCCATCACTGGCACCCTCCCCTCTTTGAGGCTCTCAGCTAATAGCAGCTTTGGAGAGAAAAGAGCCAGGAGCAAGTTAATGGGAGTTCTGCCATCTTTTTAATCTTTAGCATTTCTACAATACTTCACATCTGCAAAGCACTTAACAAATGCTAATATATAAGTGTGGTGTCAAAAGCCAGATTTGCTGGTGGGAAATTGCAAACCTGACCAGTTGTGCAACTAGTGCTTGCCAGTATTTGAAAACAAAAGTTGGCTGGATTGGGGTCTTTTACCCCCATTGGTCTTGCTCTGTGATGTACTGTATCCAAACGTGTGTTGCATAGAAACTCTCAGCAGTCTCTCCTAGTGCAGTGGTTCTCAAACTTATTTGATCAGGCCCTCCTTTGTGTCTGTAATTGTTTATGCGCCCCAGTATATATACCACCAGCCAGCTCTGAAGGCAGAGCAGCGGCTGCTGGCTGGGCACCCAGCTCTGAAGACAATGCTGTGCCAGCAGCAGCACTGAAGTAAGGGTTGCAATGCCCCAGTGACACCCTTCTTGCTTCTATGCTGCTGCTTCAACCCCAGGGCTGACAGCCAGAGCCCTGTCACCTCTAGGTGAGGGTTTGAGCAACAGGGGGAAGGAAAGTCTGAGACCACATGGTGTGGCTCCAGCTGCCCCCTTTATTCCTGCCTCTTGTGTGTGCACAGCCCTTCTGTATGAGCCCCAGCCACCCAGAGCTAACAGCCAGTGCTCTTTTAAAAAAACAAAAACAAAACAAAACAACCTTGACAGATTCCTGCGCCTCCCTTGGGAAGCCCGCCCCATAGTTTGAGAACTGCTGTCCTGGTGGAACATCTGTCATCTTTTCCCCATTAACTTCCAATGAGCTTTCTCTGAAATGTTTTAAAATGTCCCTTTTTAGTACTGAAGTGAGACTTACACAATTGCTTTCTGTATTAACGGATTAAAGACTTAGCTTTTAACTATTCCTCTGTGAAATTTTATCTGCCACTAAAACCAGAAAACGGTTTCTTAAGTTTGTCCTTTTACAGAAATCTTTTTTCCAAAACAAGTGAAGAATAGCAACTTTGAGTTTAAAGAGTTCCCTTTAGGATAAACCATAATCCTCTGGTCCCGAGATGAGACTAAACCTCTGGAGATGGTGGGTCTCTCAGGTTTTGGCACCCTGTTGTGAAAGTGTCTAGCTTTGGACAACATTTCCACAAAGGCATTTTTGCACTAATCTCTTCAACTAGAAAGGGTAGCTCAGTGTATTAAACCTGGACTGAAATACATAATAAAAAAAAAAATCAAAACTTTTTGCTGCTGAACCTTCCAGGTCAAATGTATCTTCTGTGCTGTTCAGTATAATAAGTGTGCCCTTGCCTTCCATTTAATTCAGTGGAACACTGTTGACAAGGGGCATTGGAGAATCAGCAGGGGAAGGGTTAAAGATTGATAAAGAGAACATCACTAGCAGAATATATGTACAGACTTAAACTACAGAAACTCATTTTCAAACAAAACAGTTGCAAATTCTTTCATTTTCTAACTCTTGTGCATGTGTCTGCATTGATTCTTCTAACATATTGAAGTAGAATAGTCTATTAAACTGATAAGATTGGAGCCAAACTGGGCTTTTTTTTGGTAGGGACAGGTTCTAGAGCTGCTGTTATCAACCAGTAGTGTAAGAAATCAGATGACTTCATCTTTCAGCCCAACTTTATTACTAAACTTCCCAAAACAGTCTGTCAAATAAGTTTGTTTTCAATTAACTTAATTTTTAATGTGACCTTCTACTTAGATTCTCAGTGCACTCTAGAACAGTAAACACAATATAGCATGGTACTAATGATAGAGTAAAGGTAGCTAGAAACTTCTTCATTGAGCAGAAGCCTTTTTAAAAAAAAATTGCCAACACAAATATCACCTCATTTAAAAAATAAAATAGGGCAAAACTATCATAATTGTTAGCAAATGGCGTCTGCTTTGTTTATTTCTAATGAGCTACAACAATTTTAATGATTCACCCAATCTTTTCTGAATTGATTGCTAGTTAATCCTCTTAAAAACGAAATATTACCACTTGGCAGAAATGATAAATTGTAATATTGATAATGGCTGAAGCATGTCAGTTTATAGCTTGTCATGGTGCTCTACCATGTTAACTCATCGCTCTTGCACAACAAAGTTAAATCAAATTGTTTCCTGAAGTGTAATACTATCTGTTTATCTTAAGCAAGTGACTGCTAGGGCCTGGTCTACACTAGAAAATTAGATCTGTTTAACTGTTGATCAGGAGTGTGAAAAATCTGCATCCCTGAGCAGAGCTGTTAAGCCGACATCAGTCCCTGTGTAGATAGCACTGGGTCAATGGAAGAATTCTACCGTCAACGTAGCTACCATCTTTCATGGAGCTGTATAACCTAGGCTGATGGGAGAACCCCTTCCATCAGCTAAGGTAGCATCTATGCCGAAGCACTACAGCAAGGCAATTGTGCCAGTGTAGTATTTTAAATGTAGACAAAGGCTAAGTCAAATAATTACATTGCTTGTCAAAATATATGCTGCTCATAATCATGCAATTTATAGGCTACTGACTTGGGTTTCATTGAACACAAGATTTCTGAGATTTTGCTATTTTAATTAGGGGATGCTTCTCAGCAAAGACTGAAAGTCATCCAACGAAAGCAGCTGCACCACTCTCTCTCCAGACATTTTAGATGACTGGAAAAGCATTAGAAAAACATAGTGAAGGGAACAATTATGTACTTGCCTCAGAAGCTGGACTAGATAGGAAAGACATTAGCTATCTCTTAATTTCTGTTCAATGCTAGTTTGAAGGTAATCCTGTGTTCACGTGAGCTCTGTCATGCTTGTTAAAATGCTGCTTCCAGCAGTTGCAATCAAGTTTGGGGCAGAGATAGGTGGCTTGAACTACTTTTGGCAAACTATATTTCTTGCCCTTTAGATTTGATCAGTCTCAACCTGTCTGGTATGAAATTTCTGTTGGAGTGATTGTTTAAGAAATGGATACTGTTTCTTGTAAAAACAGTGCAACATTTAAATGTTGCACTGTTCACAAAAAACATACATTTGCAATTTTTCTATGGTTTTGTGGTAAAGATTTCCCCATCTGCCATGTGTGTCAGTTCAAGTTGTTCCTCTGCTACATTTGCTAAAGCAGTAAGTACAAAGACTGTATCTTAAGACCCATATACACTTGAGAGCTTTGGCTCATGTAGGGCTGCTTCAAATACCTGGCAAGTCGGTAAAGCCTCCTATCTACTACACAAGTGTTTGTATTGGTTCCCAAGTGTTCATGAGCTAGGCAAGTCTAACTGCTCCCATCAGCACTAGTTCAGTCTAAACTGTTGGTACAGGAGATGGGCAGTGCTGGCCTTACTGCCACCCTGCTTCAAAGGCTCCTGGCTCCTGTACTCAAATAAAGGCCTTGCCTACACTTCCATAACCACTCTGCACCAGTTACATCTGCAAGTTCTATTCACTGTGTGAGGCATTCTATGGGATAACTTTAAGAAGACACTTCCCTGTAATCCCTTATACGTCAAGATAGTTACAGGCAAAATTGACTGCAAAGAGTTACAATAGAGATTTCACAAAACTGGGTGACTGGGCAACAAAAGGGCAGATAAAATTCAATGTTGTGAAGTGCAAAGTAATGCACATTGGGAAAAAATCCTAACTGTACAAACAAAATGATGGGGTCTAAATGAGCTGTTACCACTCAAGAAAGAGATCTTGGAGTCGTCCCGGATAGTTCCCTGAAAACAGCTTTTGTGACTGCTGTTGCACATTGATCAGATAACAGAAGGTTAGGAACCATTTGGACAAAGGTAATAACAGAAAGTATGGTGTCACTGTATAAATCCATGGTATACCTGCCCATTGAATCCTGCTTGTAGTTCTGGTCACCTCCTCTCACAAAAGATGTGTTAAAATGGGGAAAGTTGCGGAGAAGAACAATGAAAATGATTAGGGGTGTGGAACAGCTTCCATCTGAGGAGAGATGGAAAAATACTAGGGCTCTTCTGCTTGAAAAAGAGATGAGGGGGGTGGGGAAATACAGCACAGGTCTATAAAACCACCCATGGAGTGGAGCAAATGAATAGGGAAGGGTTAGTTATCTGCCCCCTTCACAGAGCAGAGGGCCACTAGATGAAATTAAGATCAAGTTTCAAACAAAAGGAAGTACCTCACACAATGCACAGTCAACCAGTGGGACTCTGTGCCAGGGGATGTTGTGAAGGCTAAAAGTATAATGGGGTTCAAAAAAGAATTAGATCAGTTCATGAAGGGCAGGTCCATCAATGACTATTAGCCAAGAGGGGCAGGGATGCAGCCCCATGCTCCAACCGTCAGAAGGTGGGACTGGCCAACAAAGCAACACTTAAATTGCCATGTTCTATTCATTCCCTCAGGAGTATCTGATGCTGGCCACCATCTGAGGCAGGATACTGGCGTAGGTGGACCATTGATCTGACCCAGTGTGACTATGTTCAATTAATATACTTTCTCCCTAGCGTCTGCTTCTGAGTGAGCTCACTGTGTTCTTAAGTAGGCTTCCCCTTTTCTACTTACTGGAGATTAGAGGAGGGCATCTATTCAGGAGTTAATCTAGGTGCTTCTGAACTAAAGCAGACACCAAAGCCCTTCGTGGGCATCTGCATTAATGAACTCCATCACCCAGCTTAGTGTATACCTAGAATTCTTAAATGTGTGTCCTCATCTTCCATCTGGGAAGCCTGCGTGTCTAGAAAGCGGGCTTTGGGCTCTACCAATACTTGCATCACCATGGCGTAGTGTCCTTTTCAGCTGCCATTTGCTTGTGTGAGCACAGAGTGGACTTAGGTACCAGCTACAGCCTAGCACTTAAGAGAAACCCAATGTCTGAAACTCTTCAATCTGAGGTTTCAGAGTAGCAGCCATGTTAGTCTGTATCTGCAAAAAGAAAAGGAGTACTTGTGGCACCTTAGAGACTAACCAATTTATTTGAGCATAAGCTTTCGTGAGCTACAGCTCACTTCATCGGATGCATTCAGTGTCTGTGTGTGGTCGTGGCCTCAACTCAATAAAGTTCCTCAGCCAGTAGATACCTGATCAGTTCTGAGAAATCTGTCCACCAGCTCGGCCTATCCTGCCATTTGAGCAAGCCACTTGCAAATACCATTTCCCCAACCCTGTCTCAGTGAGCACTTAGCCGCTGGGAGTCTGCAGCCTTCTTTCTTACTCTGCTCCCAGCTACATACTATTCCACTACCTGGGCACCACCACCACTCCCCAGGCTTGTTTCCCTTCTACCTTGGATGTGCTCCCCAGCCACCTGGTCCTATTCTCGACCTGCTTCCTCTTTCCCTGCTCCCCTTGACATTCCTTTCCCACTGGTGATCTCTCTTCCTTGAGGTTAACTCCAGTTTCTTTGTCTGCTCCCAGCTTAAAGGCCCCTGGCGGCTCCGGTCAGCACCGCCGACTGGGCCATTAAAAGTCTGGTCGGTGGTGCCGCGGGTCTAAGGCAGGCTAGTCCCTACCTGTTCTGGCACCGTGCTGCACCCCAAAAGCGGCCAGCAGGTCTGGCTCCTAGATGGGGTCTCCATGGCTCCCTGTGCTGCCCCCACCGTGAGCACTGGCTCTGCACTCCCATTGGCCAGGAACTGCAGCCAACGGGAGTTGGGGGAGGCAGTACCTGAGGGTGAGAGCAGTGCGCAGAGCCTCCTGCCCCCAATCTAGGAGCCAGACCTAGTGGCCATTTCTGGGGCACAGTGCAGTGTCAGGACAGGCAGGGATCCTGCCTTAGCCCTGCCTAGGAGCCACCCAAGATAAGCTCACACTCCAACCCAAGCCCCTGCCCCAGTCCTGAGCCTGCCCCCCTAAACCCAGAGCCCCCTCCTGCATCCCAAACCCCTCATCCCCAGCTCCACCCCAGAGGCTGCACCCCCAGCCAGAGCCCTCACCCCCCTGCACCCCACTCCCCCATCCCAGAGCCCCCTCCCACACCCTGAACCCCTCATCCCCAGCCCCACCCTAGAGCCTGCACCCCAGCTCAGAGCCTGTACCCCTTCTGCACCTCAACCCCCTGCCTCAACCCGCAGCCCCCTCCCACACTCCAAATCTCTCTGCCCTACCCCCTAGCCCCCTTCTGCACCCCAAACCCCTCAAGCAGGCACCCACAGCCTATACCCCCTCCCACACTCCAACCCCCTTCCTCAACCTGCAGCCCCTTCCCACGTTCTGAATCCCTTGGCCCCACTCCCCAGCCTGGAGCCCCCTTCTGCCCCTCAAGGCCCTCACCCCCAGCCCAGAGCCCCCTCCCACAACTGAACCCACCCCCCGAGCCCCCCAGGCAGCCGCAGACCCTGCAGTTAGGTGCTTCTCTCTTCCAGGCCATGGCCTTAAATATCTGAGAGGCCCACCCCCTGCAGCAGGGCCCCCCATTTCCTATGCACCTCTCAGCTAGCAGATATTCATGCAGAAGGTGCAGCCAGGATGATTTCGGAGGCTGGGGCGCCAGAAGTCCCCCAGTCCCTGAGCAGCAGCTCCCCACTCTCCCCCGCCCCAATGGGGGTCTCATCAGCCCGGGCAGCTTCTCCACTCCCTCCCCCTCCCTTTCCTGTTGATAACCCCAAAGGAATGCTGGGAGATGTAGTTCCTTTCCTGCTCCAGAGCCGACCCTCCCGGCAGGGAGCTGGCCAAGGAACTACAACTCCCGGGGTCCCCTGGGCTCCCGGGGTCCCGGGCAGGATCCCTGCGGCCAGAGGGTGAGAGCTGGAGCGTTGTGCCTGTCTGCGGGCGCGGGGGGTGGCTACAATGTACTAGGACCCTGGATCCAATGTATCATATCCGGGGCGGTCTGCGCGTCCCCGGGGCTGGCCGGGCCTGGGGGTCGGGGGGGCTGTTCTCTGGGACTGGAGGCTGGGCGCTATGGTAACCAGGGTGCTCCGCCGCCGCGCTGCGGGCGTTATCCAGGGCGGGCCGGGGCTGGGCCATGGAGCCAGAGCCGTGGGGGTGCAGTGACAGCAGGGGGAGAGACCCCCTGCTAGCCAGGGGCAGGGCTGGGGGCGCTCTGAGGCCATCAGATCAGCTGCTTGGGGGCGTCACCTTCTGTACCAGCCCCTAGCTAGTCGGTCGGTGTCTGAGCCCCTGGAAACCCTCCAGCCCTTCCTGCCGCTGGAAGGCGCTTTTCTCTCTGTTCCCCTCCTCCCGCCTGCTGCTCTTCCCTCTCCGCCCCCCATAGCTCCTCTCCCTCTGCTGCTGCTCAGAGCTGTCCCCCGGAGCAGCTGGGTGAGTGACACCCCTGTCAGCAGCGTCAGTTTCATTGCTGCCCAGGGGGTTCTGAAAAGCCCTGGTGGAAATGGACGCGACTGGGGGAAGGTGGAGGGCCCTGAGCAGTAACCGGGGCAATGGAACTGTCTGTCTGCAGACTCAGGAAGAGATCGCTGATCCGGCGCGCAGAACTACCAGGGCTAGAAACACTCCTGAAAGTTTTCACAAGCTGCTAAACCAGATTTCTCCATTCGCTAGGGAAAGTTGCTACTCACCACTGGCAAGTGGACAGTGGGTTTTAACTCCTGTAGGAGGCACTTGCCTCCAGTCGGGATGGCAGCGATAATGACTCGAATGAAGTGTGACCTAAATGCCGTCTGCAGGGCCTGTGTTTACTAAAGAGGACACAGGTCACAGACAAGACCAAGGCCCAGCATTCAGGGTGCCACCCTGAGCCAAGCTGTATGCGGACGTATCAGGTCCCAGCATGCGGTGCTCCATCTTGATGCAAGCGGTAGATGCATGCTGCGCTCGGGAACTTGAAGCCCGCATCCCTACTTCAGGGGTTACTGTTGCTGCAGGCTGTGTTCTGTGTGTTTAAGGGCTGCTTGGCTCAAGGAGCATCACATGGTGGAACTGCAGTCTTTTAAGTCCACATCAGTGTATTACTGGACCGATCAGATCAAGAGCATCTTTGCATGCTGGGATCTGGAGTCTCTGTGGGCTATACCTCTTTAAATCAAATCAAGGGTGATTATAATCTGCTCCATTTTACACAAATTGAGTGTGACCTTCCCAATCCTGGCAAGGTGCTTAATTTAATGTGAGAGGAAGGATACTCTGGGGTTTTGGGCACAGCAGAAGATGTGGATTATATTCCCAGCCTTGCCCGTGGCTTGCCATTTTACTTGATTTACTTACCACACTAATATCTGGGTGCTATTTGACAAGCAATCCAGAAAGATAAGCAGACAGACAAATCACTGATACTCTCTCAGTGCCTAAATTTACATGTATGAAACAGGGATAATCACATTTACCAACAACACAGGTGTATTTCAAGGCTTAATTAACTTGTTAATGTCTTTGAAGCATTTTATGGTTTTCCTAAGGAAATCATGTTATTCTAATGAGTGAGTGAGTTTAAGAAAGCAGAGAGGTGGAAAACTTGACATGTCTCAATTGCAAAAGGAATTCCATTTCACAAAGCTCCTGTCGAACATGAAGGTGAATCAGGAAATTTTAACTCTCCCTTTCACTTAGGTGAGGCTCAAGTACATATGAGCGCTGTACTAAAGGATTCTACAGTATGTGAAGGTGAAGACTGAAGGGCTGTATAAACTGAATCACCGGTGAGGGAGAACTGTTGGAAGCCATGAGATGGTAAAGATAAAGTAAACACTATTGGATAGCAGTCTCCTGTCCTCTAGAACAGAATCACTTTGATTTCATTTCTGTGACATGCACTGGCTCAGGTGTGCTGGTAGGTTTTGATGGCAAATCCTGTCTGCTCAGAAGGAACTATGCTAGTTGCAGTCTTCTATAGTAATCTTTGTTCATTACCTGGTGCAGACTCGACTGAGGAGGATTTCTAGTGTTGTTTGGGTTGCGTGGAGGAGTCTGACTTCCTATATGGACAAGTCAGAGTTCACTGTGGTGATCGTGACATGTCAGATGTGGGATGAATCTGGCCCATGAATTATCTGAGCTGCAGTTCTGTGATGCAGAGAATTAACGTCTTGCATGAAAAGCCCAAGTTAGACGACCAGTCTTACATTCAGTGCTTTTATTCTTGTAACGAGGGAACTTTTCTTTTCCTGTTAGGCTGCAAAACCCAAGAAAGGTTTAAAAGGTATGTGCACTTGTATGTTTCTCACTACGATACCATTTGGGCTGTTTGAGAAGAGGTGGGGTAGAGGTAAGCCCACACTAAGGTGTCACTGACACACCCACAGGTACAAGGGGGAATCCTGGCTACTGGCTTCAGGTTCCTTGTCGCCAAGATATGAACATGCAAAGTGTTAGTATTGTTTGTGTTAAGGCATTGCTGAATCAGCAGTGAAAATCAGCTTCCTCTTAAATCAGGCAACCTTGCACATAGGGACATGTTTCCCCTCCCATGGGGACTTATGCAGATCCAGTGGAGACTATAACTTTATCAAACTCAACTTGTTCTTTCCCTCCCATCAGCCTCAGTTGATATGGCAGAAGCTGTCTCTCCCCGTTGTATGCTGCCACAGTACAGAACAACTTCTGGCTTTCTAAGCCTCTGTGGGTCCTTCGCGTATTTTAGGATGAGAGCCTCGTTAGATTACTTTAATCTCTCCATGTGCCAGCGACTGAGTAATGGGGAGCATCTTGCAAATCTAGTAAATAAAGAAATCCCCTACTTTGGCCAGGTGAGGGCAAACTTCTCTATCAAGAGCCCCACCTGGGCCACACTTTCTTATGTTCAGAATATATCGGCTGAAAACTTGGCCCTGCTGAAGTCAGTGGAAGTTTTGCCATCAACTTCAATGGGGCCAGCATTTCACCCATCATCTTTAGGCTGACCAGGAGGAACCCCAGACCTTATGCTGATGATGCGTATGACCAAATGTTTGTCCTTGAGATTGGAGGCTTTCAATTAGACCAAGTGCTCTCTGAATGTATGAAAAAACTGCTTTTATTCCACATGTTGCCCAGCTCCCCTGATGAGATGGCCTTGCTTTGTTTCATTCTAGGTTCCATCCAGGACATGTTCAGTGACCTCCTGGGAGATGATGGTAAATGCTCTTTCTCTGACATTGAGAAGGAAGCCTCCCTCCGCCAGCCCTCCCCCCCCCCCCCCCCCTCCGCTGGATGTAGAGCTGGTGAGACGTGCTGGCTTGGCAGCCTTGGAGAATGAAGCCTTCCATTTATTCATAGAGCAGCTACAGCATTGGCTGTGGAAGCACAAGCTTCCCCTGCCACTGTGCATCAACCCTGTCCTCTAGGGACCCCCTCTGGGTAAAAGGGATGTTCAATTTCCATGAAGTCCGTTCAGTCCTTGGCTCCTCAGCTGACCTGGACATCAATTGAGGGGGAGGGGTCAGTAGTGGAGGTGGTACTTGATATGCAGCTTTTGGAGCAAAGGTCTGGATCAAGTTCCATATTCTCCATGATTTGTTTCTAGATGAAATCCCCATTAAATCCAACAAGCCTTCCCAGCACTCTGGGGGCAGTGGAAGGAGATCCAGGGAAATTGTCTCCAAAGCCAGCAAAAAGTGAGTACGTCTGAATCACGCTATTAAATAAGAGATTGAAGAGGGAAACTTTGCTGTTTGCTGGTGTCACGGCACCCCATGAGCTCCTCAGCCATGTCCTGTGTTTCATGTCTTGCTACTTGTCATTTACTTTTGGACTCTACAGTTATTGCTTTAGGGGGAGATATTTCAAGGCACAGCTAGGGAGTTTGATGCCCAAACCCCTCTCAAATTTCCATCCCTCTGACTGGTGTATTCTTCCCTCCGTTACACCTGCACCAGGCTACTGAAATAATAGGACCCCATTTAATAAGGTTGTGCAGGTGGTGCTGAGGGCAGCGTTTAGCTCTGTCTGAAGAAATAGCCATCCTAGCACTAGTATAACTTCACCTAAACTCCTCTTGTACGAGTCAGAATAACTCCCGTTCTGCAGGGACGTCTCCCAGTCTTCTCTCCCTGTCAGTGAGACATGTCCCACCTTCAGACCGCAGATGGCTGCTGCAGTAAGCTCCCACCAGACCTCCTTTCTTGGGATTGTGTGCCGCGAGTCGCAGGGCAGTTCCTAATTCTCCTGCTTCTGTTGCAGGTCTGGTTTGGAGGATGGTGTCTTCAGCAAGATGGCTGCAGAGGACGGTGCAGAAGCAGAGGTGAACCAAGGCCTGGGGGAGGGGGGGCTGAGAAGGGGGAGAGTGTGTGTGTGAGTGAGATGAGGTTCCTAATGAACACACAACCAAATTCAGCCCTGCTGTAATTTCACTGAAGCCAGCTGAGTTCCCGTAGGGATTCCTTTAATTCTAGGAGTCCCATTGACTGCAGATCTTATTTGGACATCCCTCTAGTTGTTGCAAAATGAGGACGGATGCTTGCATGGACGGTGAGAGAATGAGAAGCAAACATCCTAGTTGGTGCTGAGCCCTGGTGGGTGACTTACACTGGAATACAATTAATGCCTGTATCACATAGCACTATTTGGTGGTAAGCAAAGCAAGAATCCAGATTGTCTTCCTGGTGTAGTGTCGCTTCCACCAATCACTGTCCAATGACACCAAGGAAACAAAGTTCCTTGGTTCCAGGGTTTCCCAAACACGCATGTTCTCCTAAGGAACTGAAAAATTTCCAGGTCTCAGAAGACATAATGCAAGGATCTCAAAGCACTTTACAAACAGGACTCAAATATGCCTTATAGTGCTCCTGGGAGTTGCGTGTGTATTATTACCCCTGTATTACACATGAGGAAAGCTGAGGTGCAGAGAGTTGAAGTGACTTGCCCAGGATTACAGTGAATCCATGGTAGAGTCAGGAACAGAACCCAGAAGTCGCGACTCCTAGGCTCCTTGTGTAACTGCTGTAGACACGCTACCTCCACTGTAACCTGGTCAGTCTGAGTCCCTGGTGCTTTATTTTAAATGCAGACAGGACAGCCTGTCTGATTTACTTACTGGCTCATTTCCACGTTGGACTAGCTATAGAATAGATGGCATTTCACAATGAATGCAGAGTGTGCCAAGGCAAGTGAAAATACTTAAGCAAAATAAAAACATGCCTTTTATGTGTATTGGGCTTTCTTGAGCCTCCTCTGGTGCTACATGCGTCAGACTGCATGTTAGTACAATCTCATCTCTCCTGACTTTGCATGCAGGGATCTGACCTCTCAGATGTAGACCCACAAGCTTTGCTGGAGACCCTGAAGGTAAGTGAATAAAACATTACTAGTCTTTGAACTGCACTGACCATGGCTGTGACATGCTAGAACTAACCTCAGACTTCTCCCTCCTGGGGTACGTCTACGCTGCAGTCTGAGAGGTGACTGCAGCACGCGTAGATGAACCAAGGCTAGCTTTGACCTATCTAGCTCGAATAATGATAGCAGTGAAGCTGCGGCAAGGCGGGCTAACGGCTCGAGTACACCCACAGGAACCCGGGCAGGCTTGTGCAGTCCCTGTTGCCACCTGTGCCCCCACTTCACTGCTGTGGTTACGCGAGCTAGCTAGGTCAAAGCTAGCTTGGGTATATCTGTCTAGGCTGCAGTCACACCTCTGATTGCTGTATAGACGCCCTTGGTCTGCATCCCAGTGTCTCTGGATCAGTGTTTAATTGTAACCTCTTCCTCCAAGAGCTTTTCTTCGAAGAAACCCATGTTTCTGAGACCCGGCAATGAACTTGATGTGCGTGCAGAAGGCTTGCAGCGTCAGGCCTCCATTTATTTTTCCTCCTTAAGTATTTCCCAGCCACATCCAGTTACAAACCTCCCCACTGCTGAGTATTGGAAAATAGGGAGGCCAGCACATTTGCTGGCGTTGACATGTGCTTTCTGTGGCAGTCTTTGTCACTCCCTGTGGGCCCCCGCCCCAGGTGAAGAATGCAGGCTGGGTGGGTCTGCTGCCCTTGCTTCTCTGGGGAGTGATTTGGATTAGAGCTGCACTGGGAACCAGGTCGGGGATGAAGGTCCACTGGCCACCCTGTGGATAAACCCTTCCAGAGCAGATAGGAGGGCCCTGAGAACACCATCCCTGGCCAGCAGATAAGAAAGGCAGCATATGTTTTAGTTTAAATGTCCATATTCACGTGTTCAGGAATATCCTGTCAAAACAGGGCGTCTCCACCTGCTCTGCTGCCTGAGCACCAGGGCATCAGCTGAGTTCTTCATGCTCCCATGTATGTTCTTTTTATTCCCAGGAGATGGATGACATGGAAGCTGATCTCCTAGGCATAAAGAAGTCTGGTTCTGGGGCTGGGAGGACAAGAGCAAAGGGTTTCGAGAACCTTGAATCCTCAGGTGACCTGGCAAAAACTGCAGGGAAGCTAACGACTGTTGAGAAAGGTGAGTGCGATGAGCTAACCCTCTGCTAGCGCTTCTTTTATACCTGGCCTGGCCGATTGTGAAAGGGCTTTGAATGAAGCTGTTGCCCTCTGGGGCTTTGAATCTTTGATTCTAGAATATCCTCAGGGACAGGGACTGTCCCATGACCAAAGCTGGATTTTATCTGTTTTACACCAGATCCGGGGCCTAAAAATATGTTCAGTGGCTCGCGTTCGTAAACATTAAAAACATAGAGTTTTGTTTGTGTTTGTACAGCACCTAGCACAATGGGGTCCTGGGCCATGGCTGGGGCTGCTCGGCACTACAATATTATAATAAAAGAGTGATGGTTCCCTGCCTAGAACCAGCCCTTGCTACTCTCTTACGTGCAGTGATAAACCTAGGGGCACCCAGACTTTGCCCAGCCAAGGGCCACAAAGGCTACTTGCCCAGAGTCTGTGGATTGCACCTTATTCTCATGCCATGAAGCAGACTGTAGCTGTCGTCCTCTTCAGACACAGGTGCTGCACCAGGAAACTACAGGTCCCAGTATGCAGTGATCTCTGCCTGGATCCAATCAGACAGGCTTCCCGGGGGAGATGGAGCACAGCTCACTGAGACCTGTAGGCTGTGTGGCATTGTACACCTGCGTTAAAGATGAATGTGGCTCTGGATCACATTGTAGCACTATAGGTGGCATATGACCTGCTGGCATGCATTAGCCATGCCTGGAAACACGTATAATAAAGCTCCATGAACAGTGATATCCAGCCTCTTAGGGTGGGGCAGCTCCCAAACAGATCATGTTCAAAGTGGACTTGACGTGGGTCCTTTCTGAGCAGTGTGGCTTGAACCTACTGTAGAAGACAGTTGGAGGCACAGATTATAATGAGAGACAAAATGGAGCTGCAGCATTCAGACCCACAGCAGAACGTTGCACAAGTTGGTGGCTAGGTTTTCGGCCTCACTGGTTTATAAAGGGTCCATCTACCAACTAAGGATCAGGATCAGAACACCACCAGAGGGGAGCTGTTTGCATGAGGAGCCCTCACCAAAAATATTCCAACCCTTGAATCCCTTGGGGGAATTGTGGGTTGTTATATGTACTCTGCAGCAACCTGAGAGAGTAAAATAGGCTCCTAGCTGGAAATAATAACCCTGTATTTACTCTGAATAGATTATTTCCATACGCGGGGAGAGGGTGGAGCATGCACAGTGAAGAGGCTCTGCCTCTCACTAGGTCTGCAAACCCCCCTATCTGATGTTTTTTACAGGAGAGTCTGCCACTGGAATTGAAAAGAAACCCCTCTCCACTCCCGCCACCCCCCAGCGGCAGTACAAGAAGTTTTCCTTTGAAGGTAGGATTTGGGCGGGTACATTGTGGGCATTCAGCTCTCACAGTTTGACTCTCACCTTTAATTTACGGGGAAACTAGTAGATCTTCATCTCCTTTAAGGATAAGTTTGCTGGAAGAGTCGCCAGGTAACAGGGCACAGACAGAGTCTTTCTCCTTTAGATCACCAGTTTAAACCTCCTCCACCTCAAAGTACCACGAGGGTGACGTGTGGGAAATGATCTCTTACTGCGGTTCCTAATGTGTCCGTAGCACAAAAATCATCTGTCGGATTGGTAGAGTCCAAGGACTACACAGGCCATGAACACCGAGTACCTTCTCGTGCCCAACAGTGCCCTCTGTAGGTTGGAGCTGAGGCAAACTGTGCTCATGGGGCACTGTGAGAATCCGATACATGTTCTCTAGGCACCACTCTCCAGCACTAAATTCACATAAATCTTGCTGCCAAAGGTATATGAGAGGAACATACGGTAGAAAAAACTCTACAGCAGTTTGTCATGGTAACGTGAGAAAACCATGCCTTAGAGATAAAGGACTGTGGGGGTGTGAATTTGACTTCAGTTCATTACTCTGCCCTGCATCTTCTTCCCTCCCATTTCTCTTTACTCAATAAACGATGAGGATGAGTCTAAAAAACAACCACATAAGAGAATAGGGAACCTGGCTTAAAAAATATCCTATAGTGGGGTGTGTGGGTGGGCTCTGGTCTCTGCAGAGACTTAATAGTTTAAATGCCCCCCACCGCTGTGAGGTGTTACAGATGATGAAACTTTATAGATGGTGAAACTGAGGCGCAGCACCTGGAAATAGAATCCACGTCTCCTGCTTTTCCAGTCCTATGCTTTAACCAGGAGTCTATGCTCCCTGTTCTAGGGCCTACTGAAATCAGTGGAAAGAATCCCAGTGACTTCACTCGGCTTTGGATCAGGCCAATAGACGGCTATCTATGGGGCTGAGATAATGTGAGAACTGGCCTTCTCATGGCATTTCCATACCTGGACAGGGCAAGTGCGAAGAGAGGGCCCGATCTCAAGTGATTGCTGCCCCATAAATGATCCCTTAAGGGAAGACAATAGGGTAGAAAATCATGAACATATATAGAACTCTTGAGATACTGGACGTCACCCAAATCCAGAGAGATTCAAGTGTAACGGGTTCCTTGCAGAATCTGAATTCACAGCTGTGTTTTATCACTTGTGGAAGCTGCCATCCAAGGAACAGGCATTTTGAGACTGTCCAGATTCACATGGCACCGATGTTGAGGCCATAGGAGAGATCCAAGACTTTATGGCAAAAATAGGCTAAACTGTCTTTCCCAATGACAATATAGCTCAACTTCCAACTCCAGGTACCCCTCGGAGGAGTTTGCTCCCAAGCACTAATACTGACCCAAGGACCCACTGAATTTTGCCAGTAACTCCAACAGGAGCAAGATCTGGCTAATGCAGAATCCCCAGTTCTAGATGATGGTCTCAATATTTAGCTCTTTGCAGATAGTCCAGCTCCAAGAAGACAATTTCCAAAGGCCAATTGTTTTTTCTCCTTTTATTCCCATGGGGCGATTGCTAGATTTAGACGATCCTTTGGCAGGGCTTTTATCGGATGAGGAGGAAGATGCTGCTAAGAAGTTACCTCCAACAGGCACCAAAAGTAGCCCTGAAAGACATACTGGACCAGCCAAAGGTATGGAGTCACGCTAGAATTATACCCTATCCACAGAACTAGTTTGGGCTGCTCCCTAATTTGCTTCAGTAGCATGAACACCCTGCTTTTTCCACCTTTTAAATCATTGACCTGTCAATTTTACTGGGGCTCCCTGGGTATTAGACATTCTCACTATTGACAAGTGGAACAGTAGATTAACGAACTCGCCTTTCGCCTCTGTGGACTTGGGTTCAAATCCTAGCTTTAGTCTCACCCCTAATGGATTTTTAATCAAGGCATATTTAGTATCTCTGGGGTGGCTCTGGATTGGGATAGTGAGGGCACTGCAGGTCAAGCTGGGGTTCTGGTGGTAGAGCGGCTGGGAAAGAGGGGAACATCCAGGACTAGTATCGCGGGAAGTGCTGCAATTCAGGACTGAGGTGGGAGTGCAAAAGGAAAGTCTGGAGTAGCCGGGGCTGCTGTAGTCTGAGATGCATTGGTAGAGCTGGGGGCAGACTGAGATAGCAGGAATCCTACAAAGCAGGATTGAGAGCCTGCAACATCCCCAGTGCTAACAAGTGCTAAATAACGTCTCCTTGTTAATGGTCACCAAATTCATCAAAAGATGCAATTTACAAAAGAGCGAGAGAGCATGCCGCAAAGCAGCGCGCTAATGCTTTGTCACTTCCCAGTGATTTGTTCTTTGGCTTCAAAAGAACCATTTACGGGAGACTGTGTCAAAGATCCCAACCCTGGGACGAGCGTTATGTGTCATTTAAACTAGCGCCGTAGACCCAGTGGTCTCTGCTAAGAAAGATCTTCCTTCCGTTTAAACAGGGACGTCTCTCTCCTCGGCTCCTGGCCATGCTGTTGCTCCCATGCGGAGGAGGGAGGAGCTGACATTTGAAGATGATGGGGATGACCTGATGGACGCGCTGGGGTTTGACGAGGGTCCGAGGGGAGAGCTGAAGCAGGAGAGGAAAGGAGAAGAGTAAGGAGTTGCTAGGAAATAGAGTGACTCATGAGATAGTCACACTGGGTTTCAATCATTTCAAGGGCCTTGGATTGAAAAAGTGCAGAAGAATATTACATGTACTTCGTTACCCCAGATCTACGTGGGCATGAAAGGCATGAATCACCTGAGCAGACTCACTGCGATGACTATTCTGTATCACTGCAGTGGTCTCAAAGGCCGGGTCTGCACTTAAAAATTAGATCAGCCTAGCGATGTCCCTCAGGGCTATGAAAAATTTCTCCCCCTGAGCACCGTAGTTAGGTTGACCTAACCCCTACTGGAGGCACGGCTAGATCGGCAAAAGACCTAGCGACCACCTCTCAGAGAGGTGGATTAGCTACATTGACAGAAAGCCCCTTCCCTCAGTGCAGGCAACGTCTGCGCTGCAGAGGTGTAGTTGCAGAGGTGTAGTTAACTTTGAAACTTTGAAATAGTTAACTTTGGTCCCATTTAAACTGTTGTGATTTTTAATAATTTGTATTGCAGTTACACCTAGCAACCGCACTCATGGAGGCCCAGGTCCCCGTTGTGCCAGGCACTGTACAAAAACAGCACAAAAGGACGGTCCCTACCCCAAAGAACTTCCAGTCTAAGTAACACCCTGTTGAGATGAACAGGAGCAAATCTCACCCTTCAGCGCTATTGTTGCTGGCTGCAGACTCATTCAGGCTGTCCTGCAATGGGTCAGGGTTGGAAATATTTCCTTGCAACTGTAAGGGCTAGAAATTTAATTTCATAGATATATATATAGGTGTATTTAAAAAAAAGAAGAACCAGAAGCAGCTCAGACTGTGAGAGACGTGCTAGAAGGTCATGCCAGCCACTCGCACGTCAGCTCTTGAGCGCAGCCTCATTTGCCCGCAGAGGGAAACAGACAGTGCTTCAATGATTTCCACCCCCGCCTAGACGCTTGTAATTCTTTTTGCCCTCTGGCAGGGAAGAGCCCCGCCCTGCCCGCTCCAAGCTGGAGGAGTTGTTGGGAAGTGGGACCGCAGCCAAACTTCTGGAGCAACCGACCACAGGAGAACGCAAGGAGTTCAAACTGGATACAAAATACCAACAGCAACCTGGTGAGTAAAGCCAGAAGCTTGCCGGTTTAGCAACACTGTGGAGGGTGGCAATTTTTTGCTATGTTGCTATACTGGTAAAAGCGCTAGCATAGACAGTTATACCAGCATAAAAGTGCTTTTGTGGGCATAGGGTATTTTGCTCGGGGAACTAGTATAAGCTATACCAGCAAAAGCACTTTCATGACTGTCGGTCTGCATTCACACTGGGAGGGTGTGACATACCCAAGGTATAATCTAGACTAATGAATAGCTGTGTCGCCCCTGCTCTCTTACCTGGCGTGCCCTTCACATTGCTTTGCTGCTGTCACTTCCAGTCTGGAGTGCTCCCAAACAGCCTCCAGCATGTAAATTACTCCCAGCTACATCTGCCGGTGAGTAACTGCAGCCAAACAGCCACGCCTGGGCTCATATCAGCTCTGGGTGTAGTACAGGATGACCCCAACTCACTCCCAGTTAGGTAAAACAGTAAAACAAAGGCATTAACTACAAAGAGAGAAAAGGAGTACTTGTGGCACCTTAGAGACTAACCAATTTATTTGAGCATAAGCTTTCGTGAGCTACAGCTCACTTCATCGGATGCATCCGATGAAGTGAGCTGTAGCTCACGAAAGCTTATGCTCAAATAAATTGGTTAGTCTCTAAGGTGCCACAAGTACTCCTTTTCTTTTTGCGAATACTGACTAACACAGCTGTTACTCTGAAACCTACAAAGAAAGAGATTTTCAGTGAATAAAGCAATGAGGCGTAGAAGCCAGAAATGGTTACATGAAAAGTAAAGTTAAAATGTAACCAGTGCCTAACCAAGCAACCTATGTTAAATTCGAAGCAAAGTTTTTCTCGCCACATGCGCTCAAGTCTTACTGGCCAAACTTCTTAGGCCTGGACCCCTTCTTCGGTTTAATGGCTGCTTCCTTTGTCTCTTCTTGTGCGGTGAATCAATGAGCAGAGAGGAGAGGGTACCTTGGGGGGCTTATTCCTCCTTTTTATAGTGTCAGTCCCTCTCTTGGAAAACATTTCCTGCTGAGATTCAGGAGACAGAGTGTCTACATGTAAGGATGTTTCCTGCTGGTTTTCCCCACCTGTTTGAACTCCCTTTGTCTCTCTTCCTGCTTGATGACTCTGTTTACTGCTTAAAGGCAAATGAAGCAGAGCACACATTCCTTTGTTTGAGACAGACCGGTTTGCTAACCTCAGTTTGGAACATATGTTAATAACAGCTTACAGGGAAATCTGATAACTTCACATACAATGTTGCCACACATATTTTATCAAGTCAATATTGACCAGCAAATTGAGTCTTCAAATGACACCTTACAAGACGTACCTTGTACAAAGATAGTTACAGTAGGGTGTGGGCATGGGGTACATTCTGTGGGGGTTTGCCAGCATAGCAAGACCAATATAGCTAGACAAGCCAACTTTTGTAGTTTAGGCAGGGCCTAAGCGAATTACAATGAAACTCCCAGACAACAGACAAAAGCGAGAGCATGTGAGTGTGTACTGATGCAGCCTGCTTGCCTACTGCAGACTGACTTTAGTCTCCACTTGTCTAAACAGATAAGGAAAACATTTGGGACAATGAGGATTTCACCTTCGGAGCCTACCAGCCCACCCTGGCCTCCACACCCGAGGGCCGGCGGTCAAGACGACAATCTGTCAGGTATGTGTTTTATATCTGATGCCTGCCTGTGTCTGCCGCACTAACCACTGGCACATGTTGCCTCCCAGCAGGGAGCTGCCAAAGTCCTAGCACACTCAGCTTTGTGTGTTCATCTCTCTCTTCCGTTGCAGGTTTTCAGCAGAGAATATCAATGAACTGAAAATGGACCAAAGGTCCAAACCAACCACTCCAGCCATCACGAGCCCCATGCGAGGCAGTAAGACTGGCGCTGACTGGCTGGGCTTGAAAGATGAGGACTTTATCGATTTGGACCCTCCATCTCTAGCCAAGGACGCCGCCAAAGGTAGTCCCGCGGCAGCCCCTTTGAACAAGCCATCCAGCTCCTCAGCCACCAAGCAGCCCAGCCCAGCCAGCCAGCTCCTTCCTGGGACAAAGCCAGCTGCAGAGGAAGCAGCAGCTAAACCCAGACCACTTGAGGAGGAGGAGGATAGCTGGCTGAATAACGCCTTGTCTCGAAAAAAATCCCAGGTGCAGGGGAAGGTCCAGGAGAAAAGGGCTGGGGCCTCGGGCTCCCTGAGACAGGACGACGAGGTGGACCCCATTACTGTTACCAGGTAAAGACATGCCAGTGGGCATTAAAACCACTGGCTTCACTGGGAGGTCGCTAGTGCTCAGCACCTCTGAAAATCTGGGCCATTTTTAAGGGCCTAACTTTAGGCACCCAAGTGTGACTATTTTTGCCTACAGAAATAGAGCTGGGATAAGAACGTAGGATTTCCTAGCTTCCAGGTCAATTTGGAGTCCAGACCGTGCTGCCTTTCATTTCAGCTGCAATGGACATTATGCAGGCTGCCATTGTAACTGTGTAAAGGCTACAGTGATTTACTTTGGGAAGCCTGGGACAATGATCCAGAAGCCACCAAAAATTCAAACCAATTTTGTTTTCTGCCTTTTCCATGATTCAATAACTCTTGCCCTTAACTTGTAAGTTACAAGCAAAGTCCCTCCACCCTTCTTCAGTTATATGATCCTAGTCGCTATGATAATATAAATAATAATATTAACAATGAGCATGAAAAAATTATAAGAAAACTAAGGAAATTCCCAGGCAAAATCTTCGTGAACATAGAGTTAAGGCTGAGAACAAATTGGCTATGGCTTGTGCTTCCCAAAGCAGGACTGATGAGTATAATTAGGAAGAGCCTGTCAGACAAAAGTGAGGTATCTTGGTAGCTTATAGTCACAGTTTACTGTTGTGTGCATTTGCTCCTTCAGCCTTTGAAATTAAGGACAAATCTACACTGCGAAATTAAGTTGATTTAATTTACGTTGACGCAGAGCCACCACAGTAATTAAATTGTTTTTGTATGTCCACGCTAACTCCTTCTGTTAGTGGTGTGTGTCCTCACCAGGAGCGCTTGCTCTGGCTGTCAGTGTGGGGCACTGACAGCCGGAACAGTCTGATGTAAGCAACACAGCCCTGGTCTACACTAGGACTTTAGGTCGAATTTAGCAGCGTTAAATCGATTTAAACCTGCACCCGTCCACACAATGAAGCCCTTTATTTCGACTTAAAGGGCTCTTAAAATCGATTTCCTTACTCCACCCCTGACAAGTGGATTAGCGCTTAAATCGACGTTGCCGGCTCGAATTTGGGGTACTGTGGACACAATTCGATGGTATTGGCCTCCGGGAGCTATCCCAGAGTGCTCCATTCTGACCGCTCTGGACAGCACTCTCAACTCAGATGCACTGGCCAGGTAGACAGGAAAAGAACCGCGAACTTTTGAATCTCATTTCCTGTTTGGCCAGCGTGGCAAGCTGCAGGTGACCATGCAGAGCTCATCAGCACAGGTGACCATGATGGAGTCCCAGAATCGCAAAAGAGCTCCAGCATGGACCGAACGGGAGGTACGGGATCTGATCGCTGTTTGGGGAGAGGAATCCGTGCTATCAGAACTCCGTTCCAGTTTTCGAAATGCCAAAACCTTTGTGAAAATCTCCCAGGGCATGAAGGACAGAGGCCATAACAGGGACCCGAAGCAGTGCCGCGTGAAACTGAAGGAGCTGAGGCAAGCCTACCAGAAAACCAGAGAGGCGAACAGCCGCTCTGGGTCAGAGCCCCAAACATGCCGCTTCTATGATGAGCTGCATGCCATTTTAGGGGGTTCAGCCACCACTACCCCAGCCGTGTTGTTTGACTCCTTCAATGGAGATGGAGGCAATACGGAAGTAGGTTTTGGGGACGAAGAAGATGATGAGGAGGAGGTTGTAGATAGCTCACAGCAAGCAAGCGGAGAAACCGGTTTTCCCGACAGCCAGGAACTGTTTCTCACCCTAGACCTGGAGCCAGTACCCCCGAACCCACCCAAGGCTGCCTCCTGGACTCAGCAGGCGGAGAAGGGACCTCTGGTGAGTGTACCTTTTAAAATGCTATACATGGTTTAAAAGCAAGCATGTGAAAGGATTACTTTGCCCTGGCATTTGCGGTTCTCCTAGATGTAGTCCTAAAGCCTTTGCAAAAGGTTTCTGGGGAGGGCAGCCTTATTTCGTCCTTCATGGTAGGACACTTTACCACTCCAGGCCAGTAACACGTACTCGGGAATCACTGTAGAACAAAGCATTGCAGTGTATGTTTGCTGGCATTCAACCAAAATCCGTTCACGCGGTGGGAGGAGGCAAAATGCGACCTTGTAACGAAAGCACATGTGCTATGTATGTAATGTTAACAGCAAGGTTTACCCTGAAAGAGTGTAGCGACTGTTTTATAAAATGTGTCTTTTTAAATACCGCTGTCCCTTTTTTTTCTCCACCAGCTGCATGTGTTTCAATGATCACAGGATCTTCTCCTTCCCAGAGGCTAGTGAAGCTTAGAAAAAAAAAAAACGCACTCGCGATGAAATGTTCTCCGAGCTCATGCTGTCCTCCCACACTGACAGAGCACAGACGAATGCGTGGAGGCAAATAATGTCAGAGTGCAGGAAAGCACAAAATGACCGGGAGGAAAGGTGGCGGGCTGAAGAGAGTAAGTGGCGGGCTGAAGAGAGTAAGTGGCGGGCTGAAGAGAGTAAGTGGCGGGCTGAAGACAGGGCTGAAGCTCAAATGTGGCGGCAGCGTGATGAGAGGAGGCAGGATTCAATGCTGAGGCTGCTGCAGGACCAAACCAGTATGCTCCAGTGTATGGTTGAGCTGCAGCAAAGGCAGCTGGAGCACAGACTGCCACTGCTGCCCCTCTGTAACCAACCGCCCTCCTCCCCAAGTTCCATAGCCTCCACACCCAGACGCCCAAGAACGCGGTGGGGGGGCCTCCGGCCAACCAGCCACTCCACCACAGAGGATTGCCCAAAAAAAAGAAGGCTGTCATTCAATAAATTTTAAAGTTGTAAACTTTTAAAGTGCTGTGCTTAAAGTGCTGTGTGGCATTTTCCTTTCCTCCTCCACCACCCCTCCTGGGATACCTTGGTAGTCATCTCCCTATTTGTGTGATGAATGAATAACGAATGCATGACTGTGAAGCAGCAATGACTTTATTGGCTCTGCAAGCAATGATTAAAGGGAGGAGGGGAGGGTGGTTAGCTTACAGGGAAGTAGAGTGAACCAAGGGGCGGGGGGGTTCATCAAGGAGAAACAAACAGAACTTTCACACCGTAGCCTGGCCAGTCATGAAACTGGTTTTCAAAGCTTCTCTGATGCGTACCGCGCCCTCCTGTGCTCTTCTAACCGCCCTGGTGTCTGGCTGCGCGTAACCAGCAGCTAGGCGATTTGCCTCAACCTCCCACCCCGCCATAAACGTCTCCCCCTTACTCTCACAGATATTGTGGAGCACACAGCAAGCAGTAATAACAGTGGGAATATTGGTTTCGCTGAGGTCTAAGCAAGTCAGTAAACTGCGCCAGCGCGCCTTTAAACGTCCAAATGCACATTCTACCACCATTCTGCACTTGCTCAGCCTGTAGTTGAACAGCTCCTGACTACTGTCCAGGCTGCCTGTGTACGGCTTCATGAGCCATGGTATTAAGGGGTACGCTGGGTCCCCAAGGATACATATAGGCATTTCAACATCCCCAACAGTTATTTTCTGGTCTGGGAATAAAGTCCCTTCCTGCAGCTTTTGAAATAGACCAGAGTTCCTGAAGATGCGAGCATCATGCACCTTTCCCGGCCATCCCACGTTGATGTTGGTGAAACGTCCCTTGTGATCCACCAGAGCTTGCAGCACTATCGAAAAGTACCCCTTGCGGTTTATGTACTCGGCGGCTTGGTGCTCCGGTGCCAAGATAGGGATATGGGTTCCGTCTATAGCCCCACCACAGTTAGGGAATCCCATTGCAGCAAAGCCATCCACTATGACCTGCACATTTCCCAGGGTCACTACCCTTGATATCAGCAGATCTTTGATTGCGTGGGCTACTTGCATCACAGCAGCCCCCACAGTAGATTTGCCCACTCCAAATTGATTCCCAACTGACCGGTAGCTGTCTGGCGTTGCAAGCTTCCACAGGGCTATCGCCACTCGCTTCTCAACTGTGAGGGCTGCTCTCATCTTGGTATTCATGCGCTTCAGGGCAGGGGAAAGCAAGTCACAAAGTTCCATGAAAGTGCCCTTACGCATGCGAAAGTTTCGCAGCCACTGGGAATCGACCCAGACCTGCAACACTATGCGGTCCCACCAGTCTGTGCTTGTTTCCCGAGCCCAGAATCGGCGTTCCACAGCATGAACCTGCCCCATTAGCACCATGATGCATGCATTGTCAGGGCCCATGCTTTCAGAGAAATCTTTCTGTGTCCATGTCCTGATCACTCACGGGACCGCGCTGACGTCGCCTCCTCGCCCGGTATCGCGTTGCCATGTTCTGGTGCTGCATATACTGCTGGATAATGCGTGTGGTGGTTAATGTGCTCCTAATTGCCAAAGTGAGCTGAGCGGGCTCCATGCTTGCCGTGGTATGGCGTCTGCACAGGTAACTCAGGAAAAAAGGCACGAAATGATTGTCTGCCCTTGCTTTCACGGGGGGGGGGAGGGAGGGAACGGGGGGCTGACGATATGTACCCAGAACCACCCGCGACAATGTTTTAGCCCCATCAGGCATTGGGATCTCAACCCAGAATTCCAATGGGCAGCGGAGACTGCGGGAACTGTGGGATAGCTACCCACAGTGCTACGCTCCGGAAGTCGACGCTTGCCTCGGTACTGTGGAAGCGCTCCGCCGAGTTAATGCACTTAATGCACTTAGAGCATTTTCTGTGGGGACACACACACTCGAATATATAAAACCGATTTCTAAAAAACCGACTTCTATAAATTCGACCTAATTTCGTAGTGTAGACATACCCACAGTGTCTAAACTGACACTGCATCGACCTAAGCGCTGCTGCTCTCACGGAGGTGGAGTTATTAAGTTGGTGTAGTGGGCAACTGACATCGGTGGGAGCAACATTGTAGTGTAGACGCTTACAGAGTTAGGTCAATATAAGCTGCCTTACATCAACCTAACTCTGTAGTGTAGATCAGGCCTAAATGTTTCAAACCAAGTGAATGCTGAATACTTCCATAGCTCTGTTAGGAGGAAGAGATTGCTTTTGACAGAAGGGAGACCTTCACTGTCTTTGAGGTTGCAAGATACAGTTGTAGCTGACACTGGAGGATTGTGGCCCCCATCACTGTCAATTTATATTAAGATTCTTTGCTCTTTCATATAAGTGACTCTTGTTTTCAGCCAACAAGCTCCCTCTGTGAGAGAGCCTCAGCGGTCTGCTGTCCCAGAAGATAAGTCCACCAGGATGGAAGACTCAGGGTATGTCTTCACTATAGCTATACCTGCTAATCTGCCTTTTCAACAGGAACTGCTGAAATGAATTAAAACGGTGTCAGACGTGAGAGTGTTGGGGGTTGAAATGTGGTAAATAAAAAACAATTATTTAAAAAAAATTTAAAATAGTTTTTTTATTTAAATCGGATTTTTAAACTTCAATCAGATGTTTTGATTTACGTTAAATGCATATTTTTTAAAATAAACCTATTCAAAATTAAATGTGAAACTGATCATTTATGTTAATGCCTAAACTTCTTATAATTTATTAAAATCATTTAAATTAAATACAGACATAATTAAGCAATACATGTGTGTTGTCAAATTTTAAAGAAAGATCACTGAACCGGTGGAAGTCACTGGCTAAGAGCATGGAACCAGAGTTTGTTGAAGTGCTAAACCAGCTTTTGACAGCAGTGTAGCCTCTTCTGCATGTGCAGAGAGAATATTTTCTTCATTTCAGATTATTCAACTAGTTTAGTTCAATGACTGGTTCATTCAAAGTTAAGAAACTTTCAACTTTTTGGAGTTGAAAAAACAGAAAACTTGCTTTCCTCTTTCAATGTAGGAATAAAAACTAGGTGTTAAGACTATGAGATCTACTAGTTCTAAAATCTTGCAGGACATGGTGACCAGAAACAATCAATTGAATTCTCAAAATACAGATATTACTTGCTTTGTTTCATAAATTAGTTAGTTTGAAATGCAAACTGTTGTGATAAACTTTTTTTCTTATGTATCCAACACATTTAAGGTCATTTTATTAAATTAAAACCAATTAAAATTTCTGGTTTTGTACATTTTTAATTACATTTAAATTTTCATCCAAACAGAGCTTGACACAAATCACAAGTAAAAAATTAATCATCAGCTAATAAATAAGTAATGCCTCATTCACCATTTTCTAACATAATAAAGAAATGTAAAAATTAAGACTCTCTGAATAAATGGAAGTTTAAGCTGTATAATTGCTTAACTAAATATGTACAGATATAGTGCATCCTCCTGCGTGGCAAAAAGAAGCACCAAATTCAGAGTCAAGTCTATACAATTCAATATGTTTTAATGGTTACCAACCAATGAGAATCAACTTCTCTTTAGGAAAATAATGAAAAATTACAAATGTAAAACATAATTAAAATCAATTATTTAAATCAAAGTTTCCTGCGTGCTCTGATAGAAATGGATGATTTAAATTACTTTGATTTTCTGGTTACTTATCTAAATCATTTTGATTTAAGTCAGTCCATGACTGCCTGAGGGTAGGCAGGAAGAGAACTTTGTGGTGGCTTTTGATTGTTATAAATCCGTGATGTGCGTGAACAGTGAGATCGGGTGCAGTATGTTTTAAAGAAAAATCACCTTGGATTGACAACTCCAACTTTTGACCTTTGAACACCCTCCCCCTTTGTGACTCCATGTGCAGGAATCCATACGCCTGGTGCTGTACAAAACTGCTGACCGGATGTTTTGTGAAACACTCTTCTTACAAAAGCTATGCATATTAACTGGAAAATACCCCTTTAATCTCTCTTTCCCCACACGCCCTGCAATGAGGCTATATAATAGCATTCCTAGTTACTTATCTACTCTATGCATCCCACAGGTATCCTGGTCCATGGCTAACCACTCAGAAACAAGCCTCATCTCTTACATCTGAGTCCAGGAAAGGGGCACCTCCTGGAGACACCAGTCACGCCGGTATGTTTCACATCCCAAATCGTCCCAGCTACTGGGACGCAACACGCACTGTTGACGCACCTGGCTGAGTGATCAGGAGCCAGAGAGAGACATTGTGTAACCTGGAGGATTACCAAATTCTACTCTCTCTCCCAGGATGGGAAATGCAAAGTTGTATCTTTTAAAGTGAAATGATCTCTGCATCATTGCCCTTGAAGGTGAGATGAAAATGGGGAAAAGATGGGCCTAAGCAAGGTTTCCAGGTCGTGTATCAAAAAGGTTTCATTACGAATTCTGAAAAGTCCAAACATATTTGCTGTGATGTCTGTAGGGACCCTTGAGGCTTGCCCACAATTGAATGGTAGACGAATGTGTGGTTGATCACATGTTCGTATTCTCTCTCTGTCAGCTGGAAGGGGTCAGATCCCCACAGGTCTCAGCCCCCTGCCATCCCCACACTCTCTGAGTGTGGACAGAGTCCTCTCCAATTACAGCCCCTGGATGCTAGTTTAGTGTCTGGCATTGCTTCTTTCCATCACCCCTCTGGTCTTGAGGAAGGGCCAGACCTGAGCAGCCATGCTTTCCTTGACACGCTAGCAGTAGGATAACTAGTCCTCAGCCTTCCTCAGTCACCTCTGCTCTTCATCCTCCTCTTCCACAATCCTCTCACCTCCTTGGATTACCCTACCTAAACATTCAACCTCATCCCTTCACTGCTTTGTATCCCAGTGTTAGCCCGTTAGGGTATGTCTACACAGCAAAGAAAAACCCACAGCTGTCCTGTGCCAGCCGACTCAGGCTCACGGGGCTTGGGCTGCAGGGCTGTGTCAATGCTGTGTAGACACCTGGGCTCTGGCTGGAGTCCAGGTTCTAGGACCCTGGAACAGCCCCACAGCCTTAGCTGAGTTGGCTGGCACGGGCCAGCCGCGGGTGTCTAGTTGCTGTGAAGACATACCCTCGTTGTCCTACGCACCCCCAGTCCAAGGACGCGGGGACATGGGTAACCGTCAGCCATCTGCAGCCACTACCTGTTATTCCCATCTCAGTTCCAGCTGTTACAGAGCACTGCCCCCTGTTGGCGCATATGTGTAACTTTTTGTCCATTAAATATACAGTAGAACCTCAGCGTTACGAACACCTCGGAAATGGAGGTTGTTCGTAACTCTGAAATGTTCGTAACTGTGAACAAAACATTATGATTCTTTCAAAAGTTTACAACTGAGCATGGACTTAACACAGCTTTGAAACTTTACTATGCAGAAAAAAATGCTGCTTTTAACCATCTTAATTTAAATGAAATAAGCACAAGAAACAGTTTCCTTACCTTGCCAAATCTTTTTTTAAACTTTCCCTTTATTTTTTAGTAGTTTACATTTAACACAGTACTGTACAGTATTTGTGTTCTGGGTTTTTTTGTCTCTGCTGGTGCCCAATTATGTACTTCCAGTTCCAAATGAGGTGTGTGGTTGACCGGTCAGTTGGTAACCCTGGTGTTCGTAATGCTGAGGTACTACTGTATTAAAAGAGATTGGACATTATGCAGTCGGGAGGTAGCAGACAGTGGCCTCAGTGGTGTGTCAAAGGGATGACATCAAAGCCAATGGGGGTGGGAGACAATTAGGTGTCCAGGTGGTGTTGGGTTGGAGCCTGGAAAGAGCACATAACATGAAGGGTTCAAAGCAAATGCATGTGGTTAGTTGTGTGACTTAAGGGTAGCTGTGCAGGCTGTGGGAGGCAGATGCTGGTGGGAGCCAGATGCCCCTTTCTCTTGCTACTGGCGGAGGGCTGGCACGTCGCAGAGGAAACGCACTGGGCTTGCGCGTGGAGGGTGATGATGTCCTCTCTTTCCAGCTGGTTGTCTCACATGAGGTCAATAATCTGCCTCCTGTTTGGAGGGTGAGCACCATGATGAGGCTGGCCAAGCAGGAAGGAATTCGAGGGGGGTGCAGAAATGGTGGCCCTTGGGTTAGAAGGAAAGAGCTTGCTGACCGGGCCAGGACCTGCACTACATGCCTGGGTCCCTGGGAGCAAGTAGTATGGCCTGATTTCCTAGAGATGCTGAGCACTTGCGGGTCTTAGTGATTTTGGTGTGGGATGTGAATGAAAATCAGGCCAGTGCTGCATATCAAGCACCTGCCATGTGTCAGTCCATATGCACGGAGTAGAAATCTGTCCCAGTCAGCTCCTTGGCAGGGATGTAGCAAGGCAGGTGAAGGGACGAATGCGCATAAAGCATTCAAGGAGGCACTTGTGGGGTCCAAGGGTTTCATTAAAGATGCATCTTTCTTTAGTGCCCAGAGGACCTTCCAGCCCCTCAAGGCTCCACTCTGCCCATGTGGTCTGGAGTACCTGCCCCCCACTACTTCAGTGGCTGGAGCGCTTATGACACTAGCATGTCCTCATCATGCTGAAGCAGCACACTTATGGAAGGGCTTCATTTATTTCTGCCAGGCTTCCAATGCTTCTGTCTCCCTGAAAATGCCTAAGTCCACTGCCATGTCTGAGTGTTAAATGTGTTGAATTTTCTCCACCTGCAGCTTCTCTCCAAGGACATCCAGAGGGTCTGGGGTTTTCCACACTAACTCCGGTAGGTGTGAGATGCTACAACACTGATCATGGTGTATTGGGGATAATACACCCCTACCTGTACAGTCATTTTTCAGTGGCTAAAATGCAGGAATTGGGAGTGGGAAGTGGGAATCGGGAAGTGGGAATCGGGAGTCTGCGTTCTGCTCCCTGCTGTCTCACTGATTAGCTAATGTGACCTAGGTCAAGTCACTTCTATTTTCCCATGCCTCAGTTTCTTCAGCAGTAGAAGGGGTGAAATAACACTCCCTTACTTCCTTTCCAGGGGTCCTGTGAGGTTTTAAGTAGGGTTTACAAAATGCTTTGAGGCCCTTCACTAGAAGTGCTCAGAATACATTTGTGAGTGTAGTAATTAATAATGAGACTTGAATTCTAGCTAATTATTGGGTTTTACATTGCCAGGTTTTCTTAATTTTGAGGTGAAAGGACTGTGTGTGTGTGTGTGCAATTGAAGGGGGAAAATTATCAAAGCTTTTAAAAAGGAGTGTGTCCTGGAATCCTTACTTAGCTTTCAAGACCTCACTGAGAAGCCGAAGCTGGACCTTCTGGGTCCTTTTCATTTCCTGCCCTTCATTATGGGGGGTTGGGGGGTGTATGTTTTAATTAAAAAGAATTGATCCTATTACTCCTGAGTCTATCTCCAGCAATAAGACCGAACTAAACTCCGAGTCTGTTCCATTGCCTGCTCTGGGGCAGGTTGGAAGTCTCCTGTCCTGTCCATGCTGCCTTCTGGGGCAGGACCCTTTGGAGGTTTCATAGAGAGGTATTCTTCTGGAAGAAAGGATCCAGATTTGCAGTGGGGTAAGATCAGAGAAGGACTGGCAAGCCTGGAGGAGGGGCGCAAAGTAGGACCAGAATTAATGGCAGCCATTGTAGGGGTTTCCCAGGCTCAGTAGAGTTAAGATGTTCCCCACAGGGGTGGAGGCCTTTAAGAGGAGAAGGTGGCTGAGCTTTTCCCTGTTTCATTGCAGGTTGCCCTGTCTGGGGCTCCTCTCCAGCAGGTTCTACTGCCGCAGCAGGTGAGGACAGGGCGTGGCTTCTGCAGAGGAGGACACTGCATCCTGCTGGGCTGACAGGGTGCTTCTGCCACTCTTCATTCTAAAAGGGCTTGGTTTTGTCTCCCCACCCCTCGGTGCTCTCCCCTTGCAGCTCCTGCAGGCCGAGCCCCTGGCCCTGAGCTTGCTGAACGCCAGTGAGTACGAGAAGAGGCCGGTGGCTTTGCAGGCACAGCTGAGGGAGAATGCAGCAAGGCACCAGGCGGAACTGCTGAGTGCCCAGACTCGTCTCGCCGAGCTGGAGAGCCAGGTGAGGGACCCAGCCTGCTGGGCTGAGGGCAGAGGCAGGATTGGTCTCTCTGTATTCGCACCAGTCTTGCCACTGGGGCCAAGCTAGGAGTGATTGTACTGGGCTGTGATAGTAACAGTTAGGAAATACCTGGGCTCCAAAGGGCAGCAGGATTAGGGGTGCCAGAGACATGGGGTAACAGAGGGTCTGTCTGCTGAAGTACAGTCTGCTGAGGGCCACAGGGAGGGCTCACAGAGATGTTCGAGCCACACCCCTCCTAGTAAAGCCTCAAGATTCCTGCTTTCTGTGCACACCTGCTGGCTGCCACCCAGTGAGCTATCCCTGCACTAAGGGTGAATGCTGATGTCCTCCATGTGTACTGGTTTGCTCTGTGGGGACCTGACTGCAAGCCAGCCGACATCCCTCAGGGTACAGTCCGGACTGTTGAACCACTGGGTCCCTTTAACTCTCCAGCCCGGGTGCCTTTTACACTGCCTTGCTAGTGACAAGCAGCCTCTGCAGGCTATGCTCACACACAGCCATTAGCATGGATGCTCTCCCAGACACTCACAAACTACATACAGGGCAAATTCCCCAGCTTTGTACCCCAGGAATGTGTTTCTTGCACTGCTCAGGCCCCACCCCCACCCCCCGCTCCCAAACAGTGCAAGCTCATGGAAAGTCCATCATTCCATCAAAGGGAATGAGTATGCACCAGCCCTTGTTAACCTGAGTAGAGATTCTCCAAACACTTCAATCAAAATATGCTGGTTTAGGTAAAAGAATAAAACAAGTTCATTAACTAGAGAAAGATAGATTTTAAGTGAGTATAAAGGGTAAAGGCATAAAAATCAGAATTGGTTACAAAAGAAATAAAAGAGAAACACGCAAGCTATTTCCTGACTTAAATGTTACCAAACTAAACAAGATTTGAAAGCAAAAGGATTTCTCTGACCCAAAACTTTCAGCAGCCCATGCTGACTGGAAAGCCTTCCAGGTTGGACCACTCCCCTCAGTGCAGTGATGGTGCTTTGTCTTTCAAATGATCTTGCTACCATGAGCAGAGATTAGGAGCGGAGAGGTAGCCAGATGCCTTTCCCCCCCCCGTTCTTATATCCTGACCCTTTTCACTGGAAAAGTCCTTGCTGGTGTAACGCCAACAGACCCCAGTCGTCGGCAGGCGGGATCAAACCTGGGGCCTCTGGAGCTTAGTGCACAAATTTCTACCACATGAGCTAAAAGCCAACTGGCTGTTACCAGACTCATTTTATCTCTCTCTTTAAGTGGTCTCGGTGCCACTAGATGGGACAGACTACCACACCCAGAAGGTATGTGGGTTACATACTTCCCCTAGCTGAGGAAGCAGGTCCTGAGCTTCAGAGTCTCCCTTGTTGAAATCCCGGACGAGCCCCCGCTTGTAACACTGACAGACCCTGGTCATCAGTGGGTGGAATCTAACCTGGGATCTCTGGAGCTTAGTGCATGAGCCTCTACCACATGAGCTAAAAGCCAACTGGCTGTTAGCTAAGGCTGTAAAGCAGACTTGTTCGTTTTTTTTTCTCTCTCTCTCTCTCCATCTATCCAAGTGGTCTTGGTTCCACGAGATGGGACAGAACACCACACCCAGGAGGTGTGTGGGTTACACTGGGACAGGGGGCCATGTAGTTCTATTGCGTACGTGCCCTGCCAGCTGTCCTGCAGATGAACTGTAAACGCTTTGTTTATAACTCCCCTGCTGGTGAATTTCTAATTGAACAAGTAATGGCCTTTTAGCACCTGGCTGGCATGCTTCAGAGTCTGAAAGTGATGGTCTCAAGGAGGAACTGTTCCCATTATGTGGCATTAATTCAGATGGCATCAAGAACTACAGTATCCAGTTACCCAGCACTACAGTATATTTCAGTAACAATCCTAAGTAAAATCTCATAGCTCCATGTACAATAACCCCATGTACAATGCTGATACACAAATTTAACATGACAATGATGTGCAGTAGATTATGCATTTTCAAATGATACCTCACAATGCATACTTTGTACAAAATATATCCTCATCCTATAGAATTGGTGAGCTTGGGTTCCAGGGTGTCACATGGGGTACAGTGTCTCACCCCAGCCAAGAAGGGGTTTTTTTTAGCTCATCTTGGTGACTTTCCACATCAGGTGCGGAAGCTGGAGCTGGAGAGGAATCAGCAGAAGTTGCTCCTGGAGAGTCTACAGCAGCGTCATGAGGAAGACTTGGAACTCGTTGACAATGCACACAGGTATCGTGGGCCTCCACCCCAGGGACATGCACACCAGGGACATGGACCTTTGCCCCCGCACTCAGGGTCCTGCCTGATGCACAGCATACCTGGGGTGTGTAGTGCCCTGCTTACAGCAGTTGGCCCAGCTTATAGTTGGAGCAGGGGACCAGGCATCAGGGTGTTACTTCCAGATCTCCTGCTGACATGCCGTGTGACTTTGAGCACGACACGTCACAGTTCTGTGCCTCAGTTTCCCAACCTGTAAAAGGGGATTTGATCCCCTTTGTGAAGTGCTTTGAGATCTAGTGATGAAAAGCGCTATATATTATATATACATACAAAAATATAAAGAGCTGGATATTATTATTTATTTACTGTTAAATCAGCAGCAGATACCTAAACTGGCACTTAAATTAGGGTCCTGCATTTGAAAGTTGGCCCCTAAGCATCATATTTCAGATCAGAACCACCCATTAGCACCCCAGCCCAGCAGGCACCGTGCCAACAGCTCCTCCAGCCTCCGTGTGTCTCCTCGTGGGCAGGAGCCATGTGAAGGTGATGGAGGAATCTTCCCGGCAGCGCGAGGCGAGGCTGCGGCAGGAGAACGAGGAACTGGCAGCGCAGTACCTGTCCCACTGCCAAGGCGCAGAGCGGGCCAAGTCAGAGCTCCTGGCACAGCAGCAGCGCAGGCTGGCAGAGCTGGAGCAGGAGAAGGTCCAGGAGGTGGAGAGGCTACGGGAGCTGCAGCGGTAAGGAGGGCCGGGGAGGGGACAGCCAGCCTGGCAGGGGGCATCCGGGGTCCAAATTATTCTCCTCCCTAAGGGGCCAAAGCTCTTGGAATCCGTGTCCGAGCAGATGGGAAAATGGGCCCAGCTGGGATCGTGGTGTCAGGACAAGTCAGGCTTGTGCAATGGTGTGAAGAATAACCCCAGCCCTGGTGGGAAGCGATTAAAGGTTTGTCCCGATCTCCTGAGTTATTCAGCTAGCCACGAGCATTTGCATCTGCTTGTGAGGAGGCTGAGCTACTCTCACCGGCAGGAAGCAGGCCCCTGGGCACGGGCTCCAATGGCCTGCATCACCCAAGGCAGGTACACCTGGGACTGTCACTGCACGGCACAGGGACCTGCAGTGTAGGGTAGAATTAGTGGGGGAAGCAAAAGTGGACGGGAATCTGGGAGGCAGTGACCATGAGTTGGTTGAGTTCAGGATCCTGACGCAGGGAAGAAAGGTAAGCAGCAGGATACGGACCCTGGACTTCAGGAAAGCAGACTTCGACTCCCTCAGGGAATGGATGGCCAGGATCCCCTGGGGGACTAACTTGAAGGGGAAAGGAGTCCAGGAGAGCTGGCTGTATTTCAAGGAATCCCTGTTGAGGTTACAGGGACAAACCATCCCGATGAGTCGGAAGAATAGTAAATATGGCAGGCGACCAGCTTGGCTTAATGGTGAAATCCTAGCGGATCTTAAACATAAAAAAGAAGCTTACAAGAAGTGGAAGGTTGGACATATGACCAGGGAAGAGTATAAAAATATTGCTCGGGCATGTAGGAATCATATCAGGAGGGCCAAATCATATCAGGAATATTGCTTACAAGAAGTGGAAGGTTGGACATATGACCAGGGAAGAGTATAAAAATATTGCTCGGGCATGTAGGAATCATATCAGGAGGGCCAAATCCTGAGGAGCTGCAGCTAGCAAGAGATGTCAAGAGTAACAAGAAGGGTTTCTTCAGGTATGTTGGCAACAAGAAGAAAGCCAAGGAAAGTGTGGGCCCCTTACTGAATGAGGGAGGCAACCTAGTGACAGAGGATGTGGAAAAAGCTAATGTACTCAATGCTTTTTTTGCCTCTGTTTTCACTAACAAGGTCAGCTCCCAGACTGCTGCGCTGGGCATCGCAAAATGGGGAAGAGATGGCCAGCCCTCTGTGGAGATAGAGGTGGTTAGGGACTATTTAGAAAAGCTGGACGTGCACAAGTCCATGGGGCCGGACGAGTTGCATCCGAGAGTGCTGAAGGAATTGGCAGCTGTGATTGCAGAGCCATTGGCCATTATCTTTGAAAACTCGTGGCGAACCGGGGAAGTCCCGGATGACTGGAAAAAGGCTAATGTAGTGCCAATCTTTAAAAAAGGGAAGAAGGAGGATCCTGGGAACTACAGGCCAGTCAGCCTCACCTCAGTCCCTGGAAAAATCATGGAGCAGGTCCTCAAAGAATCAATCCTGAAGCACTTGCATGAGAGGAAAGTGATCAGGAACAGCCAGCATGGATTCACCAAGAGAAGGTCATGCCTGACTAATCTAATCACCTTTTATGATGAGATTACTGGTTCTGTGGATGAAGGGAAAGCAGTGGATGTATTGTTTCTTGACTTTAGCAAAGCTTTTGACACGGTCTCCCACAGTATTCTTGTCAGCAAGTTAAGGAAGTATGGGCTGGATGAATGCACTATAAGGTGGGTAGAAAGCTGGCTAGATTGTCGGGCTCAACGGGTAGTTATCAATGGCTCCATGTCTAGTTGGCAGCCGGTATCAAGTGGAGTGCCCCAAGGGTCGGTCCTGGGGCCGGTTTTGTTCAATATCTTCATAAACGATCTGGAGGATGGTGTGGATTGCACTCTCAGCAAATTTGCGGATGATACTAAACTGGGAGGAGTGGTAGATACGCTGGAGGGGAGGGATAGGATACAGAAGGACCTAGACAAATTGGAGGATTGGGCCAAAAGAAATCTGATGAGGTTCAATAAGGATAAGTGCAGGGTCCTGCACTTAGGATGGAAGAATCCAATGCACTGCTACAGACTAGGGACCGAATGGCTAGGCAGCAGTTCTGCGGAAAAGGACCTAGGGGTGACAGTGGACGAGAAGCTGGATATGAGTCAGCAGTGTGCCCTTGTTGCCAAGAAGGCCAATGGCATTTTGGGATGTATAAGTAGGGGCATAGCGAGCAGATCGAGGGATGTGATCGTTCCCCTCTATTCGACATTGGTGAGGCCTCATCTGGAGTACTGTGTCCAGTTTTGGGCCCCACACTACAAGAAGGATGTGGATAAATTGGAGAAAGTCCAGCGAAGGGCAACAAAAATGATTAGGGGTCTAGAACACATGACTTATGAGGAGAGGCTGAGGGAACTGGGATTGTTTAGCCTGCAGAAGAGAAGAATGAGGGGGGATTTGATAGCTGCTTTCAACTACCTGAAAGGGGGTTCCAAAGAGGATGGCTCTAGACTGTTCTCAATGGTAGCAGATGACAGAACGAGGAGTAATGGTCTCAAGTTGCAGTGGGGGAGGTTTAGATTGGATATTAGGAAAAACTTTTTCACTAAGAGGGTGGTGAAACACTGGAATGCGTTACCTAGGGAGGTGGTAGAATCTCCTTCCTTAGAGGTTTTTAAGGTCAGGCTTGACAAAGCCCTGGCTGGGATGATTTAACTGGGAATTGGTCCTGCTTCGAGCAGGGGGTTGGACTAGATGACCTTCTGGGGTCCCTTCCAACCCTGATATTCTATGATTCTATGACCTGCACCTGCGTAGGGTCCTTTGGGCTGCACGGCCGTTATTTTCCCCCATCCACCCTTCTGCTCGTGCCTGGGCAGGAAGGAGCAGATTTCCTCTAGGAATGAGTTGTCTCCATGAGCTTACACAGTGACCATCCGCAATCGCCTGCAGCCGGGGGCCGAGATCAGCCGTTCAGCTCTCGCTGTGTGTTTCTCTGGGTTCTTGGCAACGAGGGCCGTGTGTCTGAGCACCGACTGCGGCATATGCCGCAGGGAACGTAAGTAACTAGATGTGGTTAACGGGCTCCTCCCCTCTGAGTCCTACAGGGCATCCATTCTGGAGATGCGCAAAGACCATGAAGAGCAGCTACAAAGGCTGAAACGACTGAAAGATCAGGAGATTGACGCGGTAACCAGTGCTACCTCCCATACCAGGTACCGGCTGCCACCCAGCACGGCCTCCTTCCCTTGGTCCTTCAGCTCCCCACCCGCCCACCATAGACCGTGATGGGAGGTTGGGTTCCTCTTCTGGTTCTGAAGGAGAAGAGCAAGCAGCTAAGTAGGTTGCTTCTTCCCTTCAGGGCTCAGAGAGTCTCTGAAAAACAGAGTTGCTACAGAGCTGGGATGCTCTCTCACAGCAAGCTCCATAAACCTGACAGCTCTCCATGGGACAGCTGGGGAATAGTCACACGCACCCAGACTCGACGGTCACAGTGGTCCCTTCTGGCCTTGGAATCTATGGGCATGGTCCCCAAGCGGAGGGCTGTCTGCAGGGGAAGTCAGGGCTGGGGTGCTGGGAGGAACCTAACCAGAGGGAGAACACCTGACGTCAATGATGTGTTTGCACAGAAGCCACTGGCTCAGCGAGTAAATTGCCCTCAACAACTCTCAAGCTCTGTCAGTCAATAAATGAGCTTTGTTTGAAGGACTCTACATTACCCCCGAGAAAAAGTAGCTCCTGTCCTTTGCTGCTACTGAGGGGAGGGGTTAACTGAGCAGGAGAGGTTCAGGACAAAGCTATCGTACCCACTCAAGCTCCTAGGCAAGGCAGTGCATATTTATTGCCCAGGAAGCCACCCCTTGCCCTGGAGTTGGGCTCAAAATCTAAGGTTTTGTTTTAAAGTAAACCTTTCTAGCCCCTCATCACATGAAGATAACGTTGAAAACATGAACCCAGTGTGAACCGATGCAGCTACCACATAACTGTGGCCCTGCTCCTTCCTCTTGCAGGTCTTTGAACGGCATCATTGAGCAGATGGAGAAGTTTTCCAGTAACCTGAATGACCTCTCCTACAAAGTGGAAGCTACCCACCACAACACGTCGCAGGAGCTCGAGATTGGAGCCCGTCAGCGGGATGAACAGCTCAGGGGTACCTGCTTTTTATTTTTTCTAGCAATCACGGTCATGGTTATTTATTACAGTAGCAGCTAGGGGCCCCAACCTCAATCAGAGCCCCATTGTATGCACACACAGTCACTGCCCCCAAATAACTTACAGTCCAAAAGGAGACGTGTGTTGTGGAAGCATCTAGGAGCCCTAATCACGAACCAGGTCCCATTGTGCTAGGCACTGTACAAACATAGAGCAAGATGATCTCTGCCCCATTTACACACAAGAAACTGAGGCGCAGAGAGAGATTAAATGACTTGCCCAAAAGCACATAGGGAGTCTGTGGCAGAGAATTAGATCCAGATCCCTGTCCAGTGTTTTAATCACAAGATCATCCATCCGCTCCAGCAGATGTTCCCATCTGTGTGTCTCTTACGCCCTTACCTTTCTGAAAAGAACAATGGCTTGCCCAGGGCTGTACCTGAGCAAGACAACTGCGCCAAAGATCCTCTGTGCTGAAAGCGGCTCCCCGGGAATGTCCTGTAGCCAGACAACACTCCCAGCGGAGGATCCATCCCAGCTAGCTGGGACTGAGGGTCAGTTCCCAGCTGTTGTAAACCAGCACAGCACCATTGGAGTGACACTGATTTAAACCAGCTGAAGATCCGGCCCTGCAACTTTTGTGCAAGACGGACACAGTGGTGGCTTGCGCTGGACTGTGGGATTAGCCTGTGAATGGCTGCAGTTTGCTGCACGGTGGTTTTTCTCCCCTCAGTGCTGCAGGACAGACTGACGCGGCAGCAAAGGGACATGGAGGAGGAGCGGAGCCGGCTGCAGGAGGTCATCGCTAAAATGGAGGCCAGGCTGAGTGAGCAAACTCGTCTCCTGGAGCAGGTGAGGCGAGGCCTACAACCTGTGTCTTCAGCCTGTGTTTGATTATGGCTCTGGCCGGGGGGCCTGCATGTTCTGTAGCCAATACGGGAACTCCCCTTAACCTACGGACAGCCATGGCAAGAGGCCAGGTTTTTTTTTCCACAGGTGAAAAACTGTCTTCCTGTTTGGTGGGGGAAAAAATCAGGGCCGGGCCTGAACCTCCAAGGCTCAGGCCCTGCCCTGAAGTCAAAGAAAATAGAGGTGGTGGTGGAAAAATATCTGCTTCTGTCAAGGTTCCTTCCCCACTCTGAACTCTAGGGTACAGATGTGGGGACCTGCATGAAAACCTCCTAAGCTTACTTTTACCAGCTTAGGTTAAAACTTCCCCAAGGTACAAACTCTTTTACCCTTTGCCCTTGTACTTTCGCTGCCACCACCAAATGTCTAATCGGGTTTCTGGGAAAGAGTTGTTTGGAAACATCTTTCCCCCCAAAATCCTCCCAACCCTTGCACCCCACTTCCTGGGGAAGGTTTGGTAAAAATCCTCACCAATTTGCATAGGTGACCGCAGACCCAAACCCTTGGATCTTAAGAGCAATGAAAAAGCATTCAGTTTCTGAAAAGAAGAATTTTAATAGAAGTAAAAAGAATCACCTCTGTAAAATCAGGATGATAAATACCTTATAGGGTAATTAGATTCAAAACATAGAGAATCCCTCTAGGCAAAACCTTAAGTTACAAAAAGACACAAAGACAGGAATATCCATTCCATTCACAACAGCTTAATTTCTCAGCCATTTAAAGAAATCATAATCTAACGCATATCTAGCTAGATTACTTACTAAATGCTAAGACTCCATTCCTGTTCTGTCCTCGGCAAAAGCATCACCCAGACAGACCCAGACCCTTTGTTTTTATTTTTTCCCCCCTCCAGCTTTGAAAGTATCTTGTCTCCTCATTGGTCATTGTGGTCAGGTGCCAGTGAGGTTATCCTAGCTTCTTAACCCTTTACAGGTGAAAGGGTTTTTCCTCTGGCCAGGAGGGATTTTAAAGGTGTTTACCCTTCCCTTTATATTTATGACAGCTTCCGTTTAAGGCATGAATGGACCATAGGCTCACATAACCCATGCATTGCTTTGCCCCTATCCGCTGTTGTCTCCACACTCTAGGAACGCTGGAGGGTGACAGCAGAACAAGCCAAAGTGGAATCTCTACAGCGTTCGCTAGAGGAACAGCGGAGGGTGATGACCCAGCAGCTGACCATGGAGAGGGAAGAGCTGGAGCGGGCAAAGGTCAGGTGTCCTGATGTTTAACAAAGGTGATGGTCTCAAGGAGGAAGTGTTCCCATTATGTAGCATTAATTCAGATGGCATCGAGGCCAGGAGAAAAATCCTTTTGCTGGCAAAAGAGCACAGGACAAAGGGCAGGATGGAAATAATAGATTTTAGCATAGCTCAGGGAGATTAACCTAATAGGAGTAGAAGATTTGGGGGCGGGAAAGCAGTTCCCCTTGGAGATTAACCGCTTGGGACTTCAGTGAGGCATCACGGTACCGTCAGCTTTACTTGGCAGTATCTTGCCCTCCTGCTCAATCAGAACCCTAAGCCAGCATGTGAACCTGTCCGACTTTACTTGTCGCTCTTGGGCAAGGTGCATGTGCTCCTGGAGCTGGAGCATTTCGTGTTTGCTGGGGTAGCACCTATCTGCTCTTCCCAGAGATGTGGCACGGTGATTGACAGCGTGCATGACAGAGGCGGCGTCAGGATGGCATGAGGTCAGCAGGAAGGTGGTAGGCTTGTCTGAGTTTTGCAGACATTGATTGTTGCACAGAGTAACAATGACATGCACTAGGTCACGTGTGCGAGAGAAGCCACAGATTGTGGCTGAAGGCAGGAAAAAAATGTCAAGTGGACGGTACTAGTCGCTCGGTACTTTTAAAACCCACTGCTGTAACGCTTCCCTCCTGGAAAGCACTCCCGTTTAAACTCAGTAGATGTTTGATAGAGACTTCACCAAAGGGTGGTGACATCTGTCACTACCTCTGCTTCATTGCTGTGTTGTGGGAACAGTGCAAAACCCTGCCCCACTATTACAGAGAGGGGGTTCCACTGTCTGGATACAAGAATGTTACCCAATCCACAGGAGCAGCAGCAGGAATCTTAGTAGCAAGAATCCTTTTCAGTCTGTAGAGCACCGTAAGGAGCCCCTTTTCCGCTCTTCCTGGTGGAAGGGGTACTCTCTGTGACCTCAAGCCAACCTTCCCTACATCTCTCTGGTTTGGAGGACTTGGTTGCATCTCTCTCATGCTTTGCTCCGGCAGAATGTCTTGCTGGAGGAGCAGAAGTCGGTCATGCAGAAGTGCGCGGAGGAGCGTCGAAAGCTCGCCATGGAGTGGTCAGAGTTCCATACCCAGCAGAAGCTGAGCAAGGAGCGGACAGAGCGTGACGTCGACCGCGCCCTGCAGATAGAGTCCCAGAGGGAATGTGCCATCATGACCCTGGCAAAGGTACCCCGGTGAAGCAAGTTCCCGTTTCAGTCCTTCAGGGCTTGAATTCAGCTTTGTCAGCTGATGGGTTAGAGCAGCTGGACAGTCTGACAGAGCTTCGCTGACATGTTTCTTCCCCAGCCACTCAGTGATTCCACATGGTAACGATGTAAATTCCTTCCTGCATCCTCCCCCCTACCTCCGTGTGGTCCCTGCTCCGCCCCCTTTGAGCATCACCATGGGGAAATCTCTCTCTCCAGGTATACAGATGATGGCAGAGTAAGAGCAGATCTCCATTGTCGGAGTATTCTATAAATCGCTGGGTGGTGACTCGTAATTCAGTGCTAATATTATTACTGCTGACAAATTACCAGCATTGGTGCATGTTCTCGGCATCGGGGACGTAGCTGCTGGGGCAGGGAAGGAGGGGTGCAGTGTGTGGTGGTCTCCCACCCCACTAGCTGTGGGTTGTTGAGCAGCACAGCCATCTCAGCAGGGTGAATGCAGCACTTTGCCTGTAGCATGTGTTCCTGCCATGGGAAGGAGTCTTCTGTGGGGGGAAATGGAGCCCTGAATAATGTAGGTGAAGTGAAACCTTCCAACCCTTCCTGGCCCAAATCCCTGAGCCAGCTGCTCTGTCTGGGCAGGGTGAAGGAAAGAGCCTGCACACTAATGCTTGGGGGATCTTCCCCTGCACAACAAAGCCAGCGCTCTCGTAAGTGTACAGCAGGGAACAACCCTCCAGCGGGCCAGGAGTTTGGGGGGCGGGGGGGGGCTCTTCTATCATGGATCTCTTGGAGCACTTCGGTTGAGTGCTCGGGAGAGGAGCCAATATAGAGCCACCACGGATGCTCTCTTCCTAGGAACAAGCAGATCTGAAAATCAAGGCCAGTGAGCTGCGGGCTGAGGAGGAGCAGCTGGCTAGAGAAAGGGAATCTGTGGAGCAGGAGAGGCAGGAGCTGAGATTCAAGAAGGAAAGGGTGAATGCAGCTGCTTTGCACGTCAGACAGAGGGCAGAGGAGATTGACAGCATGAGCAAGGTAGGAAGGACCACGACTCCTCCTCTCTTCACCCCTTGCAGTCAGTGCACCCACAGTCCTTCCCCATTAGAATCCAGGAAAGGCCACACAGGAAGTGGAGGCAACGGTGGTGTAGGGGCTTGAGAATGGGACCTCAGTTCCCCACTCTTCCACTGACCTCCTGCGGGTGCCCTTGGGCCCTTCAGTTATCTCTCTGTGCCTTGGTTCTCCATCTGTGATAGGGGGAGAGTGATATCTCCCTCCTTTGATAAAACCTGTGGGGATCTCTGGCTGAAGAGCTATAGAAGTCAGCAGCCAGGAGCGATGGTTCTTGACATGAATGTTCATTAGTTGTTTAGCACTTTGAAACAACAAAGGGCTACAGAGACTTGCTTCACAATACAAGGATCTGTGTGTCTGATACATAGTGAGGGAGGGGGTGGAGAGTACCCGGATGGCTCAGGAGGTAAGAGATGGGATACAGAGCCCTCCACCTCTGACACAGATTCAAATCCAGGCCAGATCCCTGGCAACCAAGAGCCATTCCTATCTGGTGGCTGTTGGGTGGCCTGTGTGAAATGAACTTGGTCTCACTTGAGTTCCCAGTGGAACAAGCCTTGGCAGAGGAGCCATGGAGATGGAGCAACCCACTCAATCCTTGAGAGATCCCCCAGGTCCTGGTTGAGACCCATGAGTGGCGTGGCCTAGGGGAAGCTTGTCCTGCTGCTGCACTTGCCTGACTAGCGTGGTGAGTAAGCAGAGGATGAGTGTGTCCAGGACATCATGGTCTAACACAAAATGACCCGGGGTTTCCAGAGGCGTTTCCACGGCTCTTTCTCCTCCCCGCTGGGCGCCGTCACGCCCTTGCTTCCCCGGCCCCCACCCACGCTCTGTGTTGCTGTGTCCCCCAGCTGTCCTCGCAGAAGTATGAGGAGGGGGAGAGAGCCCTGCTGGAGGCGAAGAAGGTGGAGTCAGAACATCAGACGAGGCTGCGTACCGTGCAGCAGCAGCTGGAGCGGCTGAGGCAGCAGGAGCAGCACCTGCACCAGGCAATCAGATCCTCGCGCTTCCCCTCTCGTTTTTTTTCTATGTGCTGCAACATGCCGGACCCTATTAAACCAGCCTTTCTCCCTCCCTCTCTCTCCTCGGGCGGGGTAGGAGCACCAGAACCTGGCTCATCAAAGGAGACAGCTTGAACAGCTGCGAGAAGAGCTTCCGAACAGCCCGGTGCAGTTCCTGACCAAGCCCCGGGTGACACACCCAGGTGCTCAAACCATGAGCCTCTCCGCCATGCACTGTAAGCTGCTCCTTCACACCTGCCAGCAGAAAAGCTCTTGAGTGGTTGTTCTCAGTAATTGCTCTCTATAAATACAGCAGCGGGGAAGCCCAGGAAGGAAGAAGAGCTATTTAACCTAAAGGACAATGTTGGCTCTAGAATAAATGGGAATAAACTGGCCATGATGACAGTTAGGCTGGAAATTTAGAAGCAGGTTTCTAACCATCAGAGGAGAGAGGTTGGGGAACAGTCTCCAGTAGGAGGAGTGGAGGCAAGAAACCAAACTAGTTTTTAGGTGGAGTTTGATAAATGTGAGACCAGGACGATGTGCCGGGGATGTCTGTGATAGCAGGCGACTGGACTCGGTGACCCAAGAGGCCCTCTCCAGTCCCGTGTTCCTGTGAGCAAGGAAATGAGAGGAAAGGCATGTCTACACTATGGCACTGCAGCTATGACGCCGTAGTGCAGACACTTCCTATATCAACGGAAGGAGGTTAATCCCTCTCTCCAAAAGTGAGTCGCAAAGTCAACAGAAAAATTCTTCTGTCAGCCTAGCCGGGTCTACACCGGGGGTCAGGTCAACCTAGCTACAGCGCTTGGGGCACGGCGTTTTTCGCAGCCCTGAGCAACAACCCTGGGTCGATCTAATTTGTAAGTGTGGACCAGGCCGAAGGGACAGCACCTCCTGCATCTTTGTCTCACAGGCGGGGTGGGCATCTCTGTGGTTCAGCTCTCTGGCTTTCAAAGGATAAAGACCTGAGTCGAGTTCTGAAGTCACCTCTTCACAAGAGGGAGCTGGGCTCGTGGTCAGAGCAAGGGATTGGAGTCAGGACTCCTGGGTTCCATTCCTGCCTCCGCCACTGACTTGCTGCATTGGACAGGGAAAATTGGTTAACTTCCCTTAATTTCCCCTTCTGTAAAATGGGACCCGTGAGTTACGTACTCCAGAGGGTGAATTAAATGTTTGTAAATTGCTCTAGGATTCTTGCATGAAAGAGGCTATAGAAGTGCCAGATAATCATTATAATCAATCCCCACAATTTCCTCAGGTCCCAGGCTGGGAAGAGGGGCTGCCATGCTCCACCAGGACATGAAAACACAGGAACAGCAGTAATACTAGGAAAGCTTAGTGGGTCCAACTTCCCTCCCTCCCTCTGAGTCTCTCTGAATAGAAGACACGTATGTCCCACGTTGCTCTAACCGTGTGTGTATTCTTCACTATTGTGCTTCCTTGGCAGATTTCTCCCCTCCTGTTATCGCGTTACCTTGGCACAACTCTGGCAGTACAGGGGGCACCCAGGGCACAGCAGGAGCGGGACCCGCTGAGTTGTATGCCAGACTAGTGCTGCTGAAGCACACAGCTGAGCAGGTAAGATGAGCTTCCATAGCATTTGGTCAGAGGTAAAAGGGACCCAACATCAGGTCTGCTCCTGAGCTGTGCTGGAAAGGTTTTGGCTTTGAAACCATTCGGACTCTCCCAGGAAGAGAGAAAGTGAGGGCTCAGTGCCACCTGCCGATGGATGGATTTTTCTCTGAAGGTTGTTGCTGGGCAGTGAAGCTGTTTGTTCTGTGCTGTGCTGCAAAAGGGTCATTTTAGAGACCAGCCACCCTGGTGTTTCCCTGATACACTTAAAGCAGAAGTGGATGAACAACAGACGTAATGACTCTCATAAATTCTTGGACAATCAGATCGTCAAAGCTACCAATTGGCTTGCCCCATTTGGGCTGCAAGTTATCAGCCTTATTCACCACTGGAGTGGGGTGCATTTACTGCTCCAGACCCAGTTTTCTGACATCCTCAGATGGAAGATGCCACATCAAGGTGGTTAATCCCTGTTCTTTTGGTGCTTTGAGGTTCCCATTCTCTCCAGGTTCTCCAGTCACTCGCCTGCTCTTCCCCCCACCATCCCTGCATAATTGGGATTCTGCTTTGATCCCTCAGAATCCTCACGTTCCTATAAGAAAGGTTATTCCCGTTGTCTGTACGGATCCCATTCAAGGTGCACATGTGCCTCATGCATGCCTTAACTGGGATCCACAGACAAGACATTTTGGAGAACCACAGTTACTATAAAGTAAGTACCTGTGCTTGCTGTTGCACTCCCCTCTCAAAGCCTAGGCTTTGACTGCTTTTGATACTTCCCTTATATGTCGGTTCCCAAGACAGTGATGATCTATCAGGCATGTGGGTGTCTGTACTCTACCTTCAGGGAGTTCCAGCCACAACCAGTGATGGCCCTTCCCATCTCTCTCTGCAGGACCGGGATTTCTTGGAAGACGAGCAGTTCTTTCTAGAGACCCTGAAGAAAGCTTCCTACAACTTGTCATCCCAGACAGCATGAGGAGTTCAGCCCCATGGGCAGCACTGGGTGAGCTGGCTTTTTCTACGAAGACAACAGGGGATTTTGTAATGTAAAAAAATCCAAAAGTGAATGGATGGAAAAACAAATTGTCAGATACATTCAGCCAGGCAGCAGCTAGTTTAAAAAACAAAACAAAACCAAAAAACCCCTTTGCGTGTGAATTTTTAACTACGTCCGACTGAGAGCCCTACAGCCTAAAGCCTTCCATTACTTCAGCTGTGAGCCCTTCAGAGCCTGAACTGTCTTTTCATTATCTCTCTCTCTTGGTTTTATGCTATTGCCTATTGCCGTCGTGTCGAAGCACCTTCCGCGTACAACAGCCTGGCAATAGCGAAGTCCTTAGGGGTCTCCATGGAGTCACTGGCCCATGTGAGAGCACCTAGAGATCTTCACACACACCACCAGGACAGGTACAGCATGGGCTGAACCAGTGCAAACTTTCCATGCATTGCACTCAGTCATGACCAGCAGGGACCACCTCCTCAGCCTGAGAAGGTAGTTCGGTCTCCGTGGACCATTTATAATTTATCCTGTCTCTTGGCACCTTTGTTGAGAGCCTCAAGTGTGGTAGTGGGTTATGGTGATGTGCAGACTTGTGTGCTGAGAAATGGCCTAAGACCCACCACGCTCATTTCACATTAGCCATGAACCAGCCAGTGGGTGGCTCATCCACTGCTAAGGTTGCCAACTTTCTAATTGCACAAAACTGAACACGCTTGCCCTGCCCCCACTCACTCCAGCCCCTCTCCATCCATTGCTCACTCTCCCGCACCCTCACTCATTTTCACTGCAACCCTATCTGCTGTACCATGGCCGTGTCTAAGGCTGGATGTTGAGTGATAAGGGAAGAGGGAAGGAGACAAGAAGGAACCAAGTTCTCGTGATTTAGGAATAGTTCACTTCACTTCCACTGCATCTCTGTGTTTTTGATGCTTTGCTATCTTCCCTCTGCCCTTTCATAGCAATCATAGGCTGGGTTAGAGCCTTGCAACCTAACCTGACCCTAACCCAACAACACCTGACTTCAAGTGCCAGTGTGACACTGCCTGAGGGTACCCAGGGGTGTGAGGCACCTTGCTACCCCTGCCCTTAGCATGAGAGAGCCTGATCTATGCCATAGGATCAGCTCCCCAACCCTGGCCATGGGCAACAAAAGCACTTCTCTCCAGGCCTATGCAGGCCCCACTCTCTCTACAGGCAAGTGCTGGGCACATTCCAACCCTCGCATACCCAGCCCCTATTCCACTGGGGACTTGCAGAATTCACAGGCATGCTGCTTCCACAGAAGAGTACTGTCCAGCTTACCCATGTCCCTTCAGATCACTGCTCCGTTTAACACAGCACAGATATTTTTGTAGTGAAAACAACAGTTTATTTAGCGAAATATAGTCATGTAGTAACAAGTAGAAGTGTTGGAAGCAAATGGTTATATGTAAAATAGGGCTGTAGATTAATCGCAGTTAACTGATGCAATTAACTCAAAAAAAATTAATCGTGAGTAAAAAAATTAATCACAGTTTTAATCGCACTGTTAAAGAATAGAATACCAACTGAAATGTATTAAATATTTTGGATGTTTTTCTACATTTTCAATTATCTGATTTCAATTTATAACACAGAATACAAAGTGTACACTGCTCACTTTATATTATTTTTACTACAAATATTTGCACTGTAAAAATAACTATTTTCAGTTCACCTCATACAGGTACTGTAGTGCAGTCTCTACCGTGAACGTGCTGTAATTGAAATCAATATATTTGAAAATGTAGACGACATCCAAAAATATTTAAATAAATGGTATTCTATTATTGTTTAACAGAGCGATTAATTATTTTAATCGATTGACAGCCCTAATGTAAAATAAAATCATAACCGCATGCTAGAGCCTAGACTGCCATGGCTAGTTACTTGCATGTCTTATAGTATTGCTCACCAACGTTTCTCAGCCAGCTAGGCTGTGAGCCCTTTTGCCTCAAACAAGTCACACGTTCAGCTTGTCTCCTCCATGAAGGGTGTTTTTCTGCACCCTAAGTTACACCACCTCCAATCTCTTGGCTTTAGCTGTAAACAGGATCTCCCCTGCTATTTTTCCTGTGTGCTCCTTTCTTGTCGACTTTACAATCTCTTCAGTAGCGTCCGGCTTAGTCAAGCAAATAGACTTACAGCGTTAGACATGCAATACACCATGACCAGCCAGAGACGCAAACATTTCCTCCCCTCTGCCTGTTCAAAATCTGTTTTTCACCTTCTGGTGGCCAGTTTTAACTTAAGAATATCGTTTTCAGTACAAATATCTCTTAACTATCCTCCGTACGTGCATTTTGCAATGATTATGGTGCCCGATGGGCCACTGGCTCTCGGTAGAGACCTTGCATGCCACCCTTTGGCAAACAGTTATGCATGTACCTGGCCCAGGGGATCCCTTACGCGCTCTGCCAGTTGGCATCAAGAGGTCCCTGGGTCACAGTCAGGTTTGGGTTGAGTCTGAAATACAACCCGATACTCCTGGGCTTGGGTCAGGTCGTCTCTGATCCCCTCCTCCCACCCATGGGGTCAGTGTGGCAGTGGCTGTCTGACCAGGCGGTGCTCTGCCTGCTGGGGAGTGTGTTGATGAGTCCCAGCACCTCTCACTCCACAGCACAGCGAGGCAGCGGT